TCGAGTTTCAATCTATAACTACCGTAAATACTCTAATATTGGGTTGGTGAATTGAAAACTGCGGGACTTTGAACTAAAATTTATTCAACATGAAACCATGAATTCATTCCAAATAATTTCCATTATTATTGACGAGTTCTGCTCATTTTAAAGGCAATTTGTGGATTCCTCTTTCGTGGCTGGATTTTGGTTTGTGTGTGAGACAAGTGTGAGACTCAAAAATGGAGGACTGGAGATGTCCGATGTCCCAGTTTGAGCACTTTCTTCAAAAGAAACCCATTTTCGTGTCAATAGAAAAGTTGTAGAGAATCAAAAATTAGGCTTATAGCCAAATTTCCAAAAAGATACACTTAGTAGTTTCGTTTAAAATGCAAGTTTTGTGAAAGTTTCGTAAATTTCGCATTTCTTGAAAGCCAGTTTTTGAATCGTTCTGAAAATTTGGATCTAAGCTTGATTTTTGATTCTCTACAATTTTTCCATTGACACCAAAATGGGTTTCTTTTGAAGAAAGTGCTCAAACTGTCACATATGACAATAGCCGACAGTTTTCAATTCACCGATTCAATAGTACCCCACCCCTCTCGTACAGTCGCGTAGTCGCAAAAGTTTTTTAGTATTTCATTTTTTTCAAAGCGCCTGTACTTTCAAAAAATGTTTCTTTGGTAGCAAAAAATAGCCCTGAATTTCAGCTATTTTTTGATAACTAAACGCGCATTGTCGCATAAACCAGTGTCGAGAAAAACGCGTTCAAAGCTAGACTACGCAACACTCCGCACCGTCATTATGGGGGTGGGGGTACGATTACAGTATTTACGGTATCTAGTTTTCTTTTAGCACTGTAGAAGTGACAAAGATTTGAGCGAAACTCTTTCCTTTGTGCCCCCAGGATGCATCCGATCGTTCCATTCATTTCCCCTTTTGTTTCATCTCAATTTTTACCGTCAAACGATTATCGGTGATAATAGAGGGTGACAAAGGGAAATGAAAGAATCTTCAGAAGAATTGTTTCCAAACAAAGATCTCTCTTTTTCTTCATCTTCACCGCTTTTCTCACTTTTACCGCAAGTGTTAATTGTGCCCGTTCGCTTCTTTTCGCACTTTTATTTCTTTCTAAATAAAGTATTTCAATATTTCTCCTGCGCACTCAAGAGCTTCATCAATTAAAATGTAAATTTAAATATAAATCTCAAAAAATAACTCATAAACGTTTGTTTTTTGATGAAAGATTCATTTTATTTTCATTTATTTTCATTCATTTCAGCATGATTTCTGAAATAATCTCTCCCGCCAAATGTTTGCTCAATGGGGCAATTTTGACGAATCATTTTCAAGCCCTTTTTATTTCCACTCTTTCCACAAAATGTTAACACTTCTCCTCTCAGAGATTCAATGATCCATTGCAGTGAATTGCATTTGAATTGCCTCATTCTCACAAATTCTTTGTCTTTTCATCAGTTTACATTCAAAAAATTTGTTCAATTCAATTCAAATTCAAAAGTTTGTTCAAATTCAAAAATTTACCGTATTTCTTCGAATAGAAGACCGGGTAAAGAGTATGATCGCGTACTCCTGCGTAGCAGCCCTTTTTAAAATTTCTTTTCTGCGTAAAAGCTTTCAATCAAATGCTATAGAGCTGGAAAATGGCTCAAAAATCTGTTAGCTCATGTCGTATTTTTGAGTCATTTTCCAGCCCTATAGCACTTGATTGAAAGCTTTTACGCAGAAAAGAAATTTTAAAAAGGGCTGCTACGCAGGAGTACGCGATCATACTCTTTACCCGGTCTTCTATTCGAACAAATACGGTATTCAAATTCTCATCATTTCCCATCCCAACTTGTTTATCTCTTGATCCAAATAAGAAAAAAAAAGTTTACAAAAGGATTAGAAATGTCATTTTAAGAAAAATAGAATAAACATAATGATCTCTTGGCTTTAAATTCATCCCTTTTTAAGATAGGAGAAATTTGGTGAACTCTCTAAGAAAAGTAATCAACTTTTTTTTTTGAAGGAAAAAGTCGGATCAAATACGGGTGAATGAACAGAAATTCGAATGAGAAATAACTACAAGAATGTCAACAAAATGGGAATTGAATGGACAAAAAAAAAGAAGAAGAAGGGTGAAAGGGTGAAACGGTAAGTGGGAAGAGAGAAGGGGATGATTGGGTGAAAGGAATCGGAGGTCAATCAAGGGACACGCGTAATTAGACGATTCTTCATTACTTCATTAATGCACTTTCTAAAAGGCACCTATTCCGATGGAAGATTTCAATAGAAGATCTTCGTTCATTTTTTCGCTCTCTTTCTTCAAAGCAAGGTAGATTCGAGATTCGAGAGCTGGTCAAGACAGCGCGGGCCAAAATACCGTATTTTCTCTAATAGTAGTGCACCCTGAGCGTCGCCTAAATTGCTCGAAATCTCGAGAACCGCTTATCAGAACCTATCGAAGTGGGGGCGGAAAATGTAGCTAGCAAAGAGACCTTGTAGGGGATTTGAGTGTTGAGCTTCTGCAAAAGCTTGGAAACCGTAAAATAGTCACCAACTCGGCTCGCCCGGGTGCACTACTATTAGAGAAAATACGGTAACCAAAATAATGTGCTTACGGTCACGTTTATTTGTGTTTCTTATTTTCATTGAATGTAGAACATAAAAATTAGCTATCTGCTGAATTTTTTGGAGCTGTTTAGACACAAATCTAGGATGAGAAAATGCAAAAAAAAAACAAGGCTTAAGAAGAGGTTAATTGAGCTTTTCTCGGCATCGATTCAATTTTAAGAGATCCCAAAGTATGCAAAATGTAGATCATTTTATTCTCCATCTAATAGGAATAAGAAACACATAGAAACCCCACCGTGGAGGGGCTATTTTTGCTGTGACGCTTTTTTTGATTAGCACTGGTAAAATTTTTGCTCAAAGATGTGAACTTAAATAGAACTAGAGCTACAGTATGCTCCTATTTTGTAGGGTTTTCAATTTGTAGGGTTTTTAGTCCATTTCAACTTGTCATTGAATTGATTTTCTTATAGAAAAACTCAAAATATTCAACTAAAAAACTGGTTTAATTACTTTGAAAGAAGCAGTCAAAGGGTTTTGTCAAAAGAGTATTTGTGGGGAAACTGTCTCAAAATATACACAAATTTTTGAACAATAGGAGTAAATTAGAAGATAACCGTATTTGCCCTCTCTTCACCAATGACATCTATGATCTTTTCTTGAATTGGATTATCCATTCACACAATATCCGGGCAAGATCTGGCGCAACTGTTCACACCATTCTCAAATATCAACAAAACACATTCCTTTTGTTTCCCCTCTTGTTTCTTTTTGTTTCCCTCTTGTTTCTTTTTGTTTCTTTTTGTTTATCATTTTTGTGATGTAACTCGTTTCCCGTCCCGGATCTTCATTATTCTCTCTTATTTGACAGCTGCTTAGAGGTCACGTTTTTAAAAAAAAAAAGTTTTCAATATTTGAATATTGAAAACTTTTTTTCAATATTTGAATATAAAAAGATAACTTAGAGATAAATTTTCCTCAGAATTCACATTCGTGAAGAGAAAGTGACGTTTCGTTCGAATTTTTCGCCCAAATCAATCAACCAATCAAATATATTAGTTTTAAAGAGGACATTTCAGGCTTTTGAATGATATAAAATAAAACCCTCAATTGAGCTATCCAATCCAAAGAGAAAACAGCAGTTAAACCCAAAAATCAACTCAAAAAAACACAAATTCTTCTCTAAAAGAATTATAAAGAAGAATTTGGCCCAAGTTTTGCTCATTTTTCCCATTTTTCAGAAGAAAAAGCGGTTTCCCCAATTTCCGTTTTCATTCCGTTAGAAACCATTTTTTTTTTCTGATTTTCCCGAAGATTCCTTGTTTCCGAAGAAGATTTTTCGAAGATTTTCTCGAAACGATCAATCTGTTTCTTTTCTTATTTCATTTCTCTTCATTCATCTTTATTTTCTTCCTTTTTTCATACCAATTTAGAGCTAAAAGATGGTGTGAAAGTAAACAAAAATTCGCAGGAAATTTTAATATCCTTTTTTTCCTTTTCTTTTCTTTTCTTTTCTTTTCTTTTCTTTTCTTTTCTTTTCTTTTCTACTCTCCATCCACAAAATAAGACCCTCAAAATGAGCGGATTTCTAACTTATTCATTTAATTTTGTTTCCGTTAACTGTCTTGGCTCTTGTCCGTTATCAATGTTTTTGACTGAGCAGCTGTACTTTAAAGATCCATAACTTTGTCCAGAGATATGATTATTCTCATTTTTATATTGGTTTTAAAGAAAACATTTCAGGCTTTTGAATGATATAAAATAAAACCCTCAATTGAGCTATCCAATCCAGAGAAAACCGCAGTTAAACCGAGCGAAGAGTGCGATCTGACCCTAAGCAACTTGTCTCTTGATTCTCTGGATTGTCTGGCCCAATCAAGCTCAATTACATATCATTCGAAAGCCTGGAATGTCCTCTTTAAAATCAATATAAAAGTTGAGAATCTAATTCCCTCTAGACAAAGCTCTGAACCTTCAAAGTGCAGGAACTCATTGAAAATTCCGGAGAAACGGACAAAATCCGCGATTTTTCGTAGTGAGCTTTCTAGTTGTAAAATTCAAAAAAATTCCTCATCAATCTAGTCGTAAATGGTGATCTCACTCAGAGGATTCAGAGGATTGGCATTTTTCTCTTCATTTCTCATGACAATTATTCTCAAATCTCATGCCTATCTGTTGGTGATCACTCATTGATTAAAGACTCATTGAGGCAAAGTTGAAAAAGGGGTGTGTCTTTGTTTTTGAGGGTAAAATGGTGGATGACGGTGAAGGGAAGGGGAGGGACCATCTCCTTTTCTTTCCCGAAGGCGGAGTTCAAGGATCATCCCATTGCCATTCCTTTACCCATCATACAATGCCATCAAATTTTAGCTAATGCACTTCTTTCAATTATTCTTTACATATTTGTGATTTGACTTGTGATTGTTTAAAGAAGATTTTTTAGAGTTATCATGTCGAGCAGACGAACGAAATGGGTGTATCGAGCAAAGGAGAAATTACTGAAATTTGGGAGAGGATTCTCGTTGAGAAAAGTGAGTTAGGGGAAAATGATTTGAATTGAAAATGTTAGGTTTGGATAAAAGGGGATCTAGCTAGTTGGAACTAGGGTAGATCAAAAGTTGTGCGCTGCCAGGACAACTGTGCTGACCATTACACCAGAACGGAGTTGTCCGCGAGTACTTCAGAGGGGGTTAAATGAAATCTGAAATGGGCAATGAATCCTACTATATTGTATGTATTCAGAGAGCGCTTCAATCGGAAGAAACGCTCGCAATTCCGTCATTAAATGGCGATGTTCTACAGCAAATCTTCGAGAATCTTGATCTAAAAGATCGCTCAAAAATGAGAAGAGTGAGTGCTTTTATTTTTATGGTAATTTGAAAGGATTATCATCAAAAAATTGATTTTTTTTTCCAGATTTCTCGAGAATTTCGCAATGTGATTGATAAGATTCCGATTCGGATCCCATTTCTGATGATACATTCAGATGAAAGTGGACATTATGAGATATTAAGTGATCAGGTATTATAAATACTATAAAGTAGTAAAGTAGGATTTAATATAAACGCAAAAAAAACAAATGTAATCGCATTCTTTCTTGCACACTTATGCTTTCAAAGTCATCAAATGAGATGAAACTTGGACTGCTTAGGGTGCCGCTTTCCGAGTCATCAAATGAGACGAAAGTTGCACTTTTTTTGTTACGATGGGGTAGGCTAGTTTCCGCAATTTTTTTGCGCAACAGGGTCATTTGCGCAACTGGGTCGTTTGCGCAACTCACCATAACTTTCTTCTAAGTCGGTCAATCTTTATGCTTTTGGTTTTATTTTGTTGCCCTTATTGAGATCTACAAAATGAAACCAAAAGCATAAAGATTGGCCCACTTAGAAAAAAGTTATGGCGAGTTGCGCAAACGACCCAGTTGCGCAAATGACCCTGTTGCGCAAAAAAAGTCGCGGAAATTAGCCTACCCCATTACGATAGTTTAGTTGTCTTTAAGAAAATGGATAAATTACCGTATACGTTTTGTGATTTAGTTGGATTTCATCGCTGGTCATCTCCTTTCCCCATTTTCTTCGCATTTCGATCATTTAGGCGATGCACTTTCGATGAATCAAGAAACTCTCTATCAAGCACTTCAAATTATCGGTCAGTTTTCGTTGAGTTCAATTTTCTCTCTATCACAAAATTTCAGCAATGCAAGCTTCTTCAATCTCTCATTTATGGTTGGATTGTGTAGATAATGGATATCTTGCAAAAATCATTGTTGAAGCCAATCTCGATGCATCGAAAAATGTGATGGATAGGTGAAAAGAAACGAACAAAAAGAGAAGAGAATAATAAAGGGAATCTTTTAGATTAAACTTTGAACAATTAACGATAATTGGAAGCAAGGATTACAATGATTTCGATTGGTTTCGCAAATTGGTTCTAATGTCGAGAAGAACGTTGAAAGCGCTCAGATTGAGACATGTGAGGTAAAGAAAAAAACAACGAAGGAATAGATCAATTTATAAAGGTTTCTTTTTACTTAAACTTTATAGTTTTTTGTAAGCTTTGTAAGCTTTTATAAGCTTTATAAGCTGTTATAAGCTTTATAGGCTAAGCTTTATAAGCTTTATAAGCTTTATAAGCTTTATAAGCTTTTATAAGCTTTATAGGCTAAGCTTTATAAGCTTTTATAAGCTCTATAAGCTGTTATAAGCTTTGTAAGCTAAGCTTTATAAGCTTTATAAGCTAATCTGCTAATTTACTGTATTGCAAATAGCATATTGAGCTTTGTTTTTCGTTTTCTAAGAGGTGAACAATTCAGGGGAAAACTGTAATCTTTCCTTCAGATTTTCGTCTGTTTAAAATCAAATTCAATGCGAGCGAATTGTGAATTAAAAGGCATCAAAATTAAGAGTAGAAATTAAGATTAGAAACACTACCTTTCCCCTCCGCTCACCTTCGCTCCAGTACGAGCCTTGTCGTACCGATCATTTCTAGAGTGTGTTCCTCGCGAGTAAGTAATTACTCGAGTAAATTTGCATGAGTAATGCATTTTTTTACTCGGGTAATAGCTCGAGTAATTATCGAGTAATGCGTTTTCTAAAAAGTGCACCTGCGCGAAAAAAATATAAAAGCAATTTTTTGCACAGGTTTTGCGAGTGGGACAAATGCGACCTTTTTTTTTGCGCACCCGGACATTTGCGCACCTTTTTTCCCGCACTTAGCCCATTAGCGCACCTTTTTTCGCGTTTTAAAAAAGCTCTAAAAGCTAATATTAACCAATTTCTATTTCAAAAGTTGTTTTTCTAGATAATTTTAGGGCGTAGAATCGAAATTTTGGCATATCAGAGCTTGTGGAAGCGAACGGTCGGAGTTATACAAAGAGAAAAATCAACAATTTTCTGTAATTTGATCTAGCCGTTTTGTCTTTGAAATTGGTTCCACACGCTCTGTTATGTCAAAATTTGAATTCGACACCCTCAAATTACCTAGAAAAACAACTTAAAACGCGAAAAAAGGTGCGCTAATGGGCTAAGTGCGGAAAAAAAGGTGCGCAAATGTCCGGGTGCGCAAAAAAAAGGTCGCATTTGTCCCACTCCCCAGGTTTTTCAAAAAAAAAAATCATTTTTTGACATTGGAAGGGAATTCCGCACCAAATCAGTTAAACGGCTGAGTATCTTTAAAAAGTGTCATATATAATGCGGGGCTCGTCATTTTTGCGGCCTTTTTTTTGCAATAATTTTTGCTAAAAGTACGGTATTTTTTCCCAAGTGTGCGTTTTAAAAAAACCCACTACTCGCGAGGAACACGCTCTAATCATTTCTCGCGAAAACTTCTCATTTTCCTTTTCATTCATTTTCATGTGAAATCCCTTCCAGAATCACCTCCGAAAGTCAAGCGGAAGCTTTTTGGCAAGCGGTGGCTCAGTGTCATCAATTGGATCTTTTACAGGTAAATGAAAAAGAAATCCTCCTTTCATGACGATGAAATGCGTTCCAGTACGAGCCATGTCGTACCGATCATTTCTCGCGAAAACTTCTCATCGAAGCCCTTCAATCGAAAGATATTCGGTATAGATAAAGAAATAAAGAAACGAAGAAATCAATTTTTCTCAGAAATCTCACCGTAACCGGTATTGCCGATCTCTCAGCCGATGATCTCAAAAAAATCAACAGTCGCGGTACACTCCAAGAATTATCAGGTAACAACGAGAAATGAGCTCAATCATTTCCCCCGATTCAGTTGTTTCCGATTCGATTAAACCAAGTGTTTTGGCCACTCCACCACTCCAATCGACGATTATTAATTTGAAGAGTCTTCTCATACAGGTATATCTAATCATTATCTATATCTAATTATCGTATTTATTCTAATAGAAGACTTGACTTCTCAAGATCAAAACTTTTCAGGACTTCTTTTTAGCTAAAGTTATAGATATAGCTCCAGATATTGGGTTGTCCAGTTATGAATGCGCGTTCTTTACTATTCTGTAAATTTCTCAAGATACCGAAATCAAGAAAAGGATATATATGAGTATTATTCGAAAGCTGAAGATCTCCTCTACATTTTGATATAAAAAGCTTTTGAATTTGTCGAGCTTTTGGGCAAATTGACTGCACAGAAGAAGAGGTGGCCAAAAAATGGAAGGGTGCCTTTGGATCAAGTTTTGGCTCCGTTCAAATTGAGTTAACCATTTGATATTTGGCCAATATATATATCAATACAAGTTTTTTAAAATATAACAATTTCAGAGCATCTTTACTTTTCTGGGCGGTTATTTTCCACCATAAAACTTGAGGAATAGCTAAGCTGCAATGGGTTTTTTCGAAAACGACCTCTCCCTTTGTGCAATCAATTTGCCCAAAAGCTAAACAAACTCCAAAGCTTTTTATATCAAAATGTAGAGGAGATCTTCAGCTTTCGAATGATATATAACACTCATATAAATCTGTTCGACATCTTGAGAAATTTACAAAATAGTAAAAACGCGCTTTCATAACTGGACAACCCAATAGCTGTATTTTATTGGGTTGGGGAGAATGAGTCGGCGCCAAACTTTAAAGGGACTTTTTGCACACATAAAGCCTTCTTTAAACATACGTTTGTTTTCATCAAAAGGATCCACTATTTCTCTACAAAATCACTTTTGAGAGATTCCACAAAGCTTTTCTTTCGTGGAGTTTATGAACTTCCAAACGCAGCTGGTTAAAATGGCAAAGAGTCCGACTCATCATTTGAACAGTTTCTTTCACATAAACCTTCTTTGGTGTTTATATCAAAAAGATAGAGCACATTCAATTACTTAAGTTGCCAAATTTGCAGGAAGATCCCACCAATGGTTTTTTCTAGATCACAGTTTGTAGTTTTTGTGAAAAAATGGCTTTTTCTTGAGCGGAGGCGCTGTTTGAATTTTCTTTTAAATGTCATTTTGTAGAGAATTAGTTAACCATTCTACTGATATCAAACGCATATTATTTGACGAAGTCGAATAGAAGTTTTAGACATTTTTTTGATTTTCGGCGCCGACTCATTCTCCCCAACCCAATAGCTTTAACAGTAAAATTGGAAACATAGTTTTTTCTAAATATTAGAAAATAATTTTTTGAAAAAACTTTTATGTGGTACCCTACATGGATTTTTTTTTTTGGAGATTTTCTATGAAATCTAGGTAAGGAAATACCGTATTTTCTCTAATAGTAGTGCACCCCGGCGAGCCGAGTTGATGCCTATTTTACGGCTTCCAATTTTTCTCAGAAGCTTAACCCTCTAATACCCGACTAGATCTCATCGTCAGCTACATTTTCCGACCCCACATCGATAGGTTCTGATAAGCGGCTTTTGGGATTTCGAGGAATTTAGGCGACGCTCATGGTACATTACTATACGGTAATTTCACTTTTAAACACGTTTTTGCCATGTTTTCGGCCAAGGGCTATTGTTTAAAAGAGTTTTTAGTAATTTAAAAAAATTTTTGATTCATTTGGGGGACCCTTACCTATTATTATCGGTCGGCCGATTGTAAAAGGTTGAAAAAATAGAAGACCATAGTTTTCGATTAGAATAAATACGAGATGTCTGAATTATCGATGAAATTCCCAGATTGATCCCTGGCTTTCATTGCACGACTCAATGGAAAGATGCGCTCTTTTGACCATTCTTCAAACGCTTCCAAGGAGTTCAATTCTTGAGGTAAATCGTGGAAATGACTCCCTATGCATGAAGTTTGCATGAAAATTTCTGAGCCACCATGAGACTTTTGGCATAAAATTAAAACTTTCTACATCGTAGTGTCATATTAGAGTTAATATAAAAACTAAGATTTTTAGCCAAACACTTTATTCATCTACATTATATGACAATCTGTCGTACATAAGAGATTTTCCACTAGCTTTTTTTATAAAGAAGTACCCCCGTTTTTCCAAGGGAACGCTGACCAATAAAGTGTATGGTTTAAATTTCTAGTTATCCTAATAGTGTTTATTATGCGTCCACAAAAACAAGAAGGTTTGTTTGTTTTAAACTTTGTTAATGGATAATTGCAAGATTAGTCCCGAATAAATAATTTGAAAATGAAAAGCCAGTTCCCTTTAATTTTCCAACCATGAGATTTTTGGCATAAAATTAAAACTTTCTACTGGCATCGTGGTGCATAATAAACACTAGAAACTAGATAACAGGATAACTAGAAATTTAAACCATATTGATTATTGATCACTTTATTGATCTTTATTGGTCAGCGTTCCCTATTGGAAAAACGGGGCACTTCTTTATAAAAAAAGCGAGTTAAAAATCTCTTATGTACGACAGATTATCATATAATGAATAAAGTGTTTTGCTAAAAATCTTAGTTTTTATATTAACTCTAATATGACACTACGATGCCAGTAGAAAGTTTTAATTTTATGCCAAAAAAACTCATGATAGTGATGACCATAGTGGTTCAGAAATTTCATGCATTGAGAGTCATAAAATATCAAAAATTTTCCAGTCCAAAATATTCACTTTGGCACCATGACATCCACCAGGAGCCACCAGAAATTTTTTGGAAACTGGCTTTTTTTTTTTAAAAACCCTGTAGTTTCAAAAGGAATTTAGGTGGTACATGTAATGAATGGAGAGGGAACTCCACACTCACTTCTCAATTCGAACAATCACGTTGGCCGAGCCCTTGGTTATTGGGTTGGATTGGCAATGTGCGCTTAAACTCGCCTAGACTATGAAAACACTTTTCAGGGAATCGCAGCGGGCTATCAAATTGAAATTGGACGACGTTGCACAAGATAAACTTGATGCCGGAGTTGGACGAGTAAGTCTAAAACGATGAAAACAACCATTCAACCCGATTCCAGGTTCTCCGCAAATGTGCAGAAGTGATTCGGGGCAATTGGACAGAAGATGGTTTATGGCTGAAAAGTGGTGGTGGTCGAGTGTTGGTGCTTGATCGAAGAACTTGGTTTGGTGATGACGATCTTGAACTTGCTTCTCCATAATCTTTTCTATGATCTCTAATTGGCTTCTTTCTTTTTACTGCGGCTAGTCTTTTTTCTTGGTAATTTTCCGTCTGGTGGCTGCATTTTTCTTAATTTAATCCTAATCGATGTTTTTCGTTTTGCTTGTTCTTCGAAAAATTAGGTACATATCAATTGCGGGCATCAAACGGAAAAAAAAAACCTTTTTCGGCTCTTTGGTAATTTCGGAGACTTTTGAATGGGTGGTCGAGCTCTAAATGTCTCGAACTTTTTACAGAGACAAGATTTTCGTTTACTTTTTATACATTAAAAAAACATTTCAGGCTTTCAAGAAAATCAATTGATTAAAAGTCGTTGTTGGTTCGCTCACTTCTGCTTTGATTTCCCGAGTCTGATTTATCCAATTCAGCTCTATCTAGTCTCATTTGAAAGCCTGAAATGTTTTTTTTAATATATAAAAAGTCAACGAAAATCTTGTCTCTGTAAAAAGTTATAGACATTTAGAGCTCGGCTACCCATTCAAAAATCTCCTGAACTACCCAAAAGCCTTTTTTCTTTTCTTCATTTAAATCATCTGTTTATCTAAATTGCTTTTTCTTCTGTAAACTTTCTGTAATATAAAGCATGCGTCATAAGACTTTATTAACGACAATACACCCGTTTTATTATAAGTTGTGTTAAAAAAGCAAACATACATCAAATTAACCAAAGGTCACTTTTTAATCGGCGATGCGAGTCAAGTGCATCGATGTTGAGTGTGCTGATCTGCTTGATTTGTCTCATGATGTCCATCAAATTGTCTTCTGACGCTCTCTTGCAAACATCGATCATCTAATTATTCGAAAGAGTAAAAAAAATATCGAAAGTACTTGTTTTAAACTGCAAAGTCTATAAAATTCCATAATTTACAAAAAAACACGTCTATGTTCTTCCTAAAAATTTAAAAACTACTTCTTTATATCCGTTAATGATGTTTAACGAATCCCGACCAAAACTCTCGGATAGCGGAACATCTTGTATTTGTAGCGTCTCTTCAAATTGAGCCATTCGTTTCTGAAGTCTTCCGATTTCTTCTTCCAAATGTTCGAGACTTTCCGATTTGTGCATATCGATCGTCGTGAACAATTTCTGTTTCCATCCGTCAATCTGAAAGAAAAAAATCTTTAGCACAAGTCTTTCCTCCTTTAGACTGTTTTAGATGCTTTAAAAGAAACTTTTAAAATTCGGAAGGACTAACAGAACAAACTACGCTTCTAAATATCTTGATATAAAATTGATCTTTAAAAAATCACAAGCGCAAGCTTTAGATTTTAAGAAACCTTTTAACGTTTTTAAAAAGTACCTGCACAATTGATAAAGATGCAGGAGCATTCGATACAGATTGTTGCTGTCTATTCAAGTCATCAATCTGAAAATATGAAGTTGTTTATAAAAAACAAAGCTCTTTTCACGTGTATCCTGTTAGGTTTCTTACTTTAGCGATAAGGTTGCAAAAAAAATCAAAATGTTTCAAGCAATCAGTTTTTCTTAGTAATCTTATCTTTAAAGCAAATTCGTGTTTCCTCGAAAAAATAGGACTTTCAATAATCATAAATCTTAATGGTGCCAAACCTACAGCAATAAACTTTATCGTAAAAACAAACTTGATTTATCGTCTCCAAAATGGAATTACACTCCTTCTCAATATCTTTCCATAGTTGATTGACGTATTCACTCGTACTCCCTGTTTCTGGTGTTGTCATCATCAAAAAAAGAAATGTAAATTTATAATACAAAGGTTTAAAAAAGAATTTCCAATTAAACGTATACTTTAATACAAAAATAACGACAGATAACGTATGCCTTTCTCAAGAACTAATGCCTTTATATTATATTTTTTATTAAAGAACATGTTTAATATTTAACATGTTTACTGCATTGCTAAAATCACATTAGCAAATTTAAAAAATAACAACCCATCTTGCACTGAAATCATGTAGTAATGATGTGTTCAGGTGTAACAATCGAAAGAGCCTGTAAAGCGGGATGCAAATAGTCCAATGACAGATTGTTCTGATGCGCATATTCTAAAATCTTTCGGTGAGCAACAGCCGGTGGTCCTAGTTGATTTGTAGCCGAATGAAAAAGACGAGCACACAACAATTCGGCTGAAATCTCGATTTTCTTCACTGGGTGCATTCCTTTGAGATCAATCACGAATTGTTCCACGGCTCGCATCAATTTTTCTGATCCAATGCTCAACGCACACCATCCAATATTCATAAAATTACCATCGTGAATCACTAAACGATCATATCGTACACAAGCATCAAAAAGAAATCGCATCGATCGATCATCGGAAATATTCGCTCCAACATGTCCAAACTTTTGCATTGCATTCCATTGATCGAAGAAAGTTCCGCCATAATGCTCAGCTAAAATCCTCGTATTCACATAAAAGTTGTGTTCTCCTGATTTCACAAGAAAGTTTCGGTATGCATCTTTTTGAGTCATATCAATGATCGGAAGAAGCTCAATCGATCGAACTTCAACTTTCACTCCATTCGCATTTTTCCATCTTGAGTGTCCATGAAAAACACAATATTCAGCGACAAAATCAGAATGTTCCGTGTTTTTCTTATTTGTTTCCGGACACCAAAGTGCTCTTTCCTTCGCGAAGATCACCTCATCCAAATGTTTAATTTGATAATCAACGAGTGCAGCATATGTCCTTTCATTCGGCGTGTAACCAATCCAAATCTCTTGTTGTCCTTTTTCGGCTTCTTTCATTCGAACCATCACATCCATATTAAGAATGGCTCGTTTCGTTGTCGTTTCGCTTGAATCCTCATTAAGCGACACGTCAAGCACTGTCCAATCCATCGATCTTCGCAATCTAAAATAGAAAATTTTTAAAATGACAATAGCTTTGTAACAAAAATAGTAAAAGCGTTAAAATTGGAGCGTTAATTTGTATAAAACTTCAAGAAATCTATACAAAAAGCTTTTATGATCTATTAGGTTGATGCATAAGTGTTTTTGTTCCTTTTCGTCTGCCGTTTCAAGCCAACAAATGCACCAATTAAACTACGGTTGATTTCATTAGAAAAACCAATTATTTTTCTGCAAAATAACATTAAAACGGGTTTAAAAATATTTAATGCCTGGATTTTCTTGAGAGTATGAAGTCGGGTAGTCAAAAAGGGCTAACTCGATGATGCGGTTTAGACACCTTAGCTAAAGAAAACCTATCTTCGTGTCAATAGATAAAAAGATAGAGAAAAAAAGTTTGATATTTCGCCAAAATTTCAGAGAAATTCATTCAGCCAATTTTTCCGTAGAGTTTTTTATAGATTTTTACGAAAAAGGCGTTTTTCACTCTCGAATTTGCTTGAAAGTGAACCGAAATTGATTTAAAAAGATGCAAATTGAACAAAAAAACACTTTTTTTATAGAGCAAACTATAGATTAATTGGTGAATTTGTTACTTTTTAACAGAAGTACGAAAAAAACGAAAAGACTTATGCATCAACCTAATAATTGCACATAAAAATTTGGATAGGATAAAGATATGTGTTGCAAGAAACAATTCTGCAAAGAAGCCAGAAAAAATTAAAAAAGAAACATAGCAAAGAAAACAAGTTTACATATCGTCAACAATTTAAATGTATGGTGAGACATTTGTGTACAGAGTCAAGCCTCGTAGTTTTTCGCGGTTCACAAAAGTTGAAAAAACTTTTCTCCATACTTATTGACGATATTTTCTACATATCCGTATTTTTCTCCATATTTATTTATAAATTTTGGGGGTGGGACAAATGCGACCTTTTTTTGCGCACCTGGACATTTGCGCACCTTTTTTTTTGCTGGAAAAGGCCTTAGGAAACGTCGTAAAGCTTCAAAAATGTTTTCATAGAAGGGAATCGTATGCGTAGATTCCGAATTTCGACAAATCAGACCTCGCTGACACGTCAAATTTGGGCTAAAAGGCAAAAACTACGCAACTTAATGCTTTTCCGCAGTTTTTGCCTTTTAGGCCAAATTTGACGTATCAGCGAGGTCTGATTTGTCGAAATTCGGAATCTACGCATACGATTCCCTTCTATGAAAACATTTTTGAAGCTTTACGACGTTTCCTAAGGCCTTTTCCAGCAAAAAAAGGTGCGCAAATGTCCAGGTGGGCAAAAAAAGGTAGCATTTGTCCCACCCCCATAAATTTTACCTTTCTAAAGCAAAATAACCGATTTCTTTGCAATTTTCCTTTGAACAGTTATAGAATTTATTGATATAAAAACTTTAAAAATGTAAGGGCAAATTGGCAAAAAAAGGGCAAATTTAAACGAGTAAAAAACAGTACCAGTAATCAAATGATCATGATTGGATTTGAGAAGTCAAAAGAGAAGAGGAAAACAAAGTGTCATGAGAGTTTATTTCTTATGAATATGGAAATGAACTTGTTACACTCCTGGATTCACACCAGTGCCGGGGAATGGTGGCTGAGCTGTCGCCTGATTTCCTCCTACATCTCCGCCTGTCACTAAATTTTCGAAATTCAGCCTTTTCACGGGAATTTCTTCAAAAAGCTCGAAATCTCGATGAAAATTTCCCATAATCCTTCTCAATTCTATTTCGTACCCCCAGTTACCGTAACCCAAAATGTCTCAAATCAAGATCTTCTCAAAAATGTTGTTTTTATGGATTTTCATCTAGTTTTTGATGTAGTTAACCTTTTTTGAACCTATAACTTTTATTTTAAGCATTTTAGAGTCTTTAAAAAGTTTAACAGTTAGCAGTTTTGTTAGCCGAGAGTTGACGAAACCGAGAAAATGAGAATTATCGTCAAAAGTGTTTACAGTAGTTGTTTAGCACTTACTTGGAGCTCCTCTCCACATCTGAAAAGCGTTGAACGCCCAAACAATGGCTTGGAATGCGAAAAGACCCTACAAATATTGTGTACACGGCTTAAACTTTTCACGAACCACACAAATCACGGCTCCAAACGGATCATGATTGAATGCTTGAATGAACATCAACAAACCGCCAAGCAATGAAAGAATTGTCCACACCAAGCTGTACACCATTTCCTGAAAATATTTGGGGAGAAACTTGGGGATTTTATCGGCAGAACTTACCACTTTTGGCCACATGGGACTTTGCACAAAAGTGACATCGAAAGAAAAACAGAGCATCATGGCAAGAGTGAACACCAATAGAATACATGTGATAAGAACTGGATACCTGAAATTGATTTCAGAATTTGAAATTCAAGTTTTAAATTAGATTTGTGTTTTGAAAATCGTTGACTTTTGTCGGATGTCGGATGACTTTTGTCGTTGACTCGGGTATTTTGCAAGTTATGATTATTTAGAATGCTGCTGAGAGTGGCTCAGATCTTTGTTCAGTTGTTCAGTTTGTTCAGAGTTTGATATTCTTGTTTGTTTTTGAGAGAAAAATGGCTAAATCTTCAGCTAGCATAAATTCATTCAAAATAGTCGGTAAATTGACAAGAGTCTGACAAGAGTCAGCTCTTTTACAATCTCATCCTTACCATGCAGCGTGTGAAACGAGCACAAAAATGAATAGCAATATCGCGAGACCCTGAAATGAAGTACTTTTTACGATCTTATATCTTTTGATCAAACATTTAAACACCCACTAAAGTAAGCGGTTTCAGCAAATGAGGCAATTGCTTCAAATCACCGAATGCCATTGTTTTTCTTTTTAGAAATTATCTAAAATAGTTGTATAGATGGGGGAAAAAAGTCGAATTTTGTGAAAAACCGTTGAAGAAGGAGAGAATTCATTTGTGAAGTGACTCACTTATACAAAAGAAGAACAAAAAAGGGGGAAAGGGGTGATTGATTGAGGCATCAGATTGCAATCGAAATGTTTTTCTTTTCAAAGGAAAAAAAAAGTATATTTTGACTTTGAAAAAAGAATCAGAAAAAAGATTTGGTTTAAGATTCAAAGAGTTGAACAGGTGAGAATTTCTTTCAATTATGGTTTCCAGAGGGATTTCTCTCATTGTACTTGGTATGGGATTCATTTTTTTTTTTGATTACTCTCATCCCCAGAGTCTTTCAAAAACTTTATTTAGAATTTTTGGATTCTTCTGGAAAATGATTACCGTATTTTCTGTAATAGTAGTGCAGTCTGTAATAGTAGTGCAGGCTGGAGGGGGGTTGAAAAAATAGTAGTGCGCACTACTATTACAGAAAATACGGTATATAGTTTAAAAGCGTAGAATCAGAATGATCAAATTTCAGTCAAGATTTTGTATTGGAAACGAGTTTGATACGAGCAGGGTTTAACGGAAAAGCTAAAAAGCAAGGCTGAGCCAGTCAAACCAAGACTGAGATCGAGATCAAGACTTTGTACTGGGCGGGATTTGAACCAATACAAAGCCATGGCTCACCAGGTCACACCCAGAACCCAGGTCCTGATTTGGTTTGATTCTGAGTTTGACTTGACTTAAAAGAATTAGATAATTGGATGAAGAAGTGGTTATGAAATCGAATTGATTGAATGAGTTAGTCTATGGTCTTTCTCAAATCCCCCTTCCTCTCTTCTTATTTTCTTTTCGAATTGAATGCCAAATACTTATTTGTTCAGTCGATTCACCATTTGCCCGCTTTCTTTTCTCCGAAATCGATCACAAAGTTGGAAAGCTTTCATCGATTTCAGTTTCATTTAAATATTTCGAAATTTTTCATGTAAAAGATAAGAATTTACAATGGGGAAATCTTTTGAAAATGGCATAAAGTACAATGGAAAATGTAGAATACATGGAAACATTGTGGAGAAATGAATGACATAGAAACATTGTCGAAAAATGAATGACGTTTGTTGTTTTTCTGATTAAGTCGAGTCGATTTCACGAATGAAATCGATAAATTTTGTATGCAGAAAAGACTTATCTCTCTCTCTCTCTTTTTTTTTCATTTTTCCTTTTTTTTGAAAGTGCTTCTCGTGTTGTTTGTCAGCCGTGATAAACAGCCGAATCGCTTAAAATGGGCACCGTTCGGTGTCATGGAAATGGAAATATTCGGTGAAAGCGAGAAAAGACTCTTGCTTTAACAAGATAAGAATGAAAAATTCTTTATGCATTGGAAAGGTTGTTTTTGTAGTTTTAGAAATCGTTTGATGCAATGATAGTTGATTACAGTCACTTTCTGGATCCACTCGATAAAGCCAACGTCAAAGTCAGGCTTTTTTTCTACAAAATTCGAAGTGAAAGGAAATGAAGTATTCAAAAATTCTAAAGGGGTTAGTTCGACAAAGAAATCGACAAAGAAATTGACAAAGAAATTGACAAAGAAATCGATAAAGAAATTGACAAAGAAATTGACAAAGAAATTCTTTTGGAAATGATTGATTGAAATGAACGATGTATTTCTGAGTATTTCGAGCATTTTGACTTGACTTTAGCTTGTTCTTTTGGAAAAGCTTTCATTATATTTTAAACGAGAATTGAAAAATTGATACCTAGTGACCGATATTTCTTAAATATGAAAAAAACAAGAGAATAGCAATAGAAATATTTACCGTAAATACTGTAATAGTACCCCACCCCCCTCGTACAGTCGCGTAGTCGCAAAAGTTTTTTAGTATTTCATTTTTTTTTCAAAGCGCCCGTACTTTAAAAAAATGCGTCTTTGATATCAAAAAATAGCTGAAATTCAGGGCTATTTTTTGATAACGAAGCGCGCATTGTAGCATAAACCAGCGTCGAGAAAAACTCGTTCAAAGCTAGACTGCGCAACACTCCGCACCGTCATTATGGGGGTGGGGTACTATTACAGTATTTACGGTATGTTTAATTGTTTCTGAGGTGGAAAAGAGAGGCGATCAGTGAACAGTAGGGGTAAAGAAGAATCAAATGAAATATTAAAATGAGAAGCAAAGACCAATCATTCGTTGTCTTGCGAAATTGTTGTTCTTTTTGTTGACCCCTTTTGGGTGTGTCGATCAATTGATAAGGGGTTAATTCGACAAAGAAATTGACAAAGAAATAGACAAAGAAATCCTTTTTGAGATGAGTGATTGATTGAAATGAATGATGACAGATTTTATTCTAATCTTCTAATCAAGAATTAATAGATATTTTGGTTGTAAAATCTTTCACAAAATACCTCAAATCTTTGGTATTTTGTGTAGAGTATTAGATAAGAAGGGGAAAGAATTCTAGAATATAGAAAGAAAGGAATAAAATTCTAGAAAGAATTCAAGAAAGAAAGAAACGAAATATTAAAATATTCTTGATTAGAAGATTAGAATAAAATCTGTCATCATTCATTTCAATCAATCACTCATCTCAAAAAGGATTTCTTTGTCTATTGAATTCTAGAAAGAAAGAAATAAAATTCTAGAAAGAATTCTAAAAAGAAAGGAACAAAATTCTAGAATTGATTTGAAAATTGATGAGGAATCATTCCAAGAATATAGATTTTTCTTTCGTATTTTACGACGAATAGAGATGTAGAAAATTTCGGGAGGAAATTCGATGATTCACTTCAGGTGTACAAATAACAAATATTGAAGCTAGGAAATGGGAGAAGAGGCGAAATATTGAAGGGAATATTGAAGGGAATATTGAAGGGAACTGAAGCTATTCGATCGAATATTCAATGGAAACAATGAGAAATTTTTGGTGAAAAATCGTTTGTTACAATTTCAGTTACAATTTGAACAACAATCCATCAAAAATGAAGGTCAAACACAAATTTTTCGATCGCTGATATCATACAAATTCTCGATTGTCAATTGGCTTTCAAATTTTGAGAATTTCATATTTACTTTGTCATTTGAAATCTTTTCTAATTAGATTTCTAATTAGATTTCTAATTTCTAATTCATTTATTTGAGAGTAAATAGAGTAGAAAAATTAGGAAAAGAATTGTTTACTTTGCTTTAAGTTTAATCTTTTATCAAATAAAAATATTTATTGAAATGAATGCCATCAAAAAAAAGATTGATTGATTAGATTTTTCGATGTTTTGTTGGCTTTCGATTACAGCAAATAATACAAGAAACCTTAGAAAAAACAAGGAAATTCTTTATTCCTTGACACTTCCAATTAAAGTTTTCATTCTTTCTCGTTCTTTCTCGTTTTTGATGATTCTGAATATCTAGCTCATCAAATTTCATTAATCATCAAAAGTTTTTATTAAAAATGACGATAAGAGACGATTTGACGTTCTCAGATCCCTAGCAGAGGGATAGTACGGTTCAATAAACCTTTTTTTTGACCCTAGTTCGATTCCGTCTGATATCAATCCTTTTTCCTTTTTCATTTTCAACTCCAAAAGGCTAGTTAGCTGTTCTTTTTCTCATTCCAATCCGAAAAACGTCGAAATCCGTGGTCGTCCTCTCTTCCGATTCAGTCATTCCCTTTTTTTTCTCACTTTTCCCTCACTTCCTTTCTCCTAAAATAGACTCTCCTTGTTGTTAAATGTCTGGTTATTTTTGAATTCAAATCCTTTTTTTTCTTTCTTGTGATCTTTATTTTATTCTCTTCCCCAAACACTTCCTCAAGCTTTCCATTGCCCGTTCCCCGATTCATCCATTTCAAACAAGCGGTTTCTCTCTGCTTTTGTTCAATATTCATGAATTCAAGTCAATCTCTGAATTTGACATTTGTCGATTATCTTAACGAAAATCTATTTACCTTTTGCTGCATTTGAATAGTTTTTTGTTCAAGAAAAATGTTTGCATTTTTCTTATTGAAGGCCTTATTGAAGATTTCAATAAGATAAGGCCAATAAGATTTCAATAAGATCAGGCCTTATTAAAGATTTCAATAAGATCAGGCCTTATTGAAGATTTCAATAAGATCAGGCCTTATTAAAGATTTCAATAAGATCAGGCCTTATTAAAGATTTCAATAAGATAAGGCCAATAAGATAAGGCCAATAAGATTTCTACAAAAGCCTTATTGAAGCCTTTATCTTATTGAAATAAGATAAAGGCTTCAATAAGGCTTTTGTTTTATGTAAGATCTTAATGTTTAGCTGAAAAAGAGAGGGGAAAATCATAAAGCACGTGTTTTGTGAGTGAAAGAGTGAAAGAGTGACTTGGGGTGCAAAGACGAGATGAAGGAAGGGCACTTCCGCTCTACTTTTCTCCATTTCTTCAGCTCCATACTTTCCCCTCATTCAACATATTGCTCTTGCAATAGAATTTATGTACCAAGATACATTTATTTCAAATTCTATTACCTAACTTTCAAATGATTTCAAGCGCAGTAGCTCTCAAGGAAAATTCAAATGATTACTATAACCGGAAAATGAAATGGTTTATCGGAAATCATAAGTGAAATGGATTTTAGAAAGGAAAAGCTAACTTTCCATGAGGATAAGTGCTCATGGAAAGTTAGCTAAGAATTACTTGATATCAAGCAAATGACGAATTTCGAATTTTCTTTCAACTACAAGCTTTTCAATCGTTCTCATATTCGTGCTCTCCATTTCAATTCCTCTTTATCTTTTTATCCCCTATATGCATTCGTGTCCTTTTCATCGTCGATTCCATTTCCCCATCCTCATTTCCCCTTTCTCCTCACCAAAACAATTTGCTTTTTCTTTTCCCATTTAAGACAATCGTTTCGTTTTTTTTTTGTGTCATTTCACCATTCCAACGAATTCGTGGATTCGTTTTTTTTTTCTTTTACGTCTTCCTCTTCGAGTCAAAAGTCTACTGTTAGAAATTTGTTTGCGGAAAGGTTAAAATGGCTTTGGTTAAAATTGTACTTGAATTGATTGACCTTGAATTGATTGACCCCAAATTGACCTATTTTTCAGCAACTCAAGCCTTAACAAATCGTACTCATTAAGTCTGAAGCATGAATTCTTAACGAAAATCTATTTTTCAGCAACTCAAAGCCTTAACAAATCGTACTCATTAAGCGTGAAGCATTAATTCTTATTCTTAACGAAAATCTCAACAGACAACGCAATTCAATCTCTCTTTATGTGCTTTTTGTTGTGAAAATTTGCACAAACGAGTGTATAGCAAATTCGAGAAAATGAGAAAAGAGTAAAGTAGGGAAAAAAAAGAAGGGGGAGTAATTTGGCATTGCGCAATTTACACGACGAGAAAAATCTCGTAAAGAGGCTTCTTTTCAGAAGTGTGGGCTTTTGGCAAAAAAAAGGGAATTGAAAAGAATGAAGAGTGAACACAAATCACATTCATTTGAGGAATGGATGCATAGATTCTAAGCTATAATTTGAGTTAATCCATCTCTTTTTCTTCTTTTCGCTCTTCTCTCCCGTCTTTCACATTTATCTCCTTTTCTTTTGCAATTTTATATCGATCAAATTTAGTATTTATCTTCAAAAATGGGTCTTTCCTCTCTTGGCCGTTATCCACATGTGCTTAAATCGATCGCATTTGTGAGTTTTTGAATTTGATTTCATTGTAGGTGCAAAAAGAAAGCTTTTCTTGAATCAATAAAATTGTTTAAGGAAAAAAAACCCCGCTAAACTCTACATTTTCATACTTTTTCTACAATTTTTAGAAGAAAATTCTAAAAAGTTTTGCTAATCAGATCATCAGCTAAGTCCTAATCAGATAATCAGCTAATTGCTTATCAGATAATCAGCTAAGTCCTAATCAGATAATCAGCTAATTGCTAATCAGATAATCAGCTAATGCTAATCTGATAATCAGCTAATTGCTAATCAGATAATCATCTAATTGCTTATCAGATAATCAGCTAAGTGCTAAACAGATAATCAGCTAAGTCCTAATCCGATAACCAGCTAAGTGCTAATCAGATAATCATCAATCAATCAGCTAAATACCATACAATTTATAGTCACCATTTACTAATCATTAGATTTAAATATCTTTATAAAATTTCAATTTACAGGCGGTTTTATTGGTGTTGGCGGCGATTTTGTGGATAAGTGGAGACTCTCGAAGGGCTCAATTGATCACATGGCAATCGCTGCCATATCTTCTTGTTTTAACTTTCGTTTATGAAAAGAGAGATTACATTGAAGAACATCCAGCATGGCCTGCATGGGTAAAATCAAGAAAAATGCTTGAATATTTAAGAAATTTTCAGGAAATCTTTCTCTCGACTCTTTTCCTCTTGTGTTCACTCGTGAATTTGATTGTGACTGGGATGACTGTTTACGATGATCCACAAAAACCATTGCATTTCATTACAACGGTTTATTTTTAGATTTTAACCATTTTTGCAATATATTCAGGGTGTTTCAATGCTTCTCGTTTGTTTATGGACATGGAATCTTGTTCATTTTGCCGCACGAGCTTGTCGACGATATCGGGTAAGAAAAGTTGAGATGAATTTTGAATCTAACAGTTTTTTTGTATTCATTGACTGATGCTCTATAAATCCTCATCGAATGAAACAGGTGTCTTCTAGAAAAGGTGTCTTTTAGAAAGGATTTTGGGACATTTGAGACATGCCCCGACCCTTTTCCCATCGGCGAATCACTGTCCAAACCCTCTTCAAAAGTCATTGTATTCAGATTTTTGATTGTAATCCATCGATAGATTGCTCTAGAGATTTGTTTTATGATTGTAGGACGTTTGCCCTCCCCCTTTCCCATTATCAATCTAATTTTACGCTCAAACATCTTGATGTTGGGCTATTCAATTTAAATAGTTTTTGTATCAATCGATAGAGAAAGACTTGGCGCATCTAATGATATCAAGAATATTGAAATTGAACAGCCCAACACCAAGATATTTGAGCGCAAAGTTAGATTGCTAATGGGAAAAGTGGCGGGGCGCGTATAAAATGTTCGATAAGCTTTAGAAGGTGTATTAATTGAGAAAAGTCACTCTACTCACAATTATCTAAACAAATCTAATTGCAGGTGGTCCGGAAAGAGCCACCAGAATTGGAAAGGAATTCGAGAGATGAATCGAGAAATGGAAGGAGTCGATCAAAAGGCGATCAAAAAGACAATGAAAGGATCACTCAATGCAACCAAAAACTCCACTCAATCGACCCCCCGAAAATCACTGTCGAAGAGCCATCTGACGCTTGATCAATTTGCATTTATTTTTCATTTGTTTTTGCTCAACTCGTTCCCAATCTTTTCGAATATTTTCAATGCCGCGGGTATCCAGAGATCTGGTTATTATATTTTAAAAAAAGAGCTATTTCCGAAAATAAATGCATTGTTTAGTTACCAAAATCACAGAAAACATCATATGGAATTATTTCTCAAGAATGGTTTCGGTTTCATGATTGGACTTTCACGAGCGATTCGAATGAATTCTTTCAATCCGAAATACTCAGCAACATCAGTGATTAACGGAATGACAAGATCATCTAAAGATTATTTGATATTTGATGAAAAATCCTTTTATACAAACCGATAATAGAATGGGTATTGATTTGATTGAGAACATCAATCCATGAGATTCGTGGCTCTCTCGCTGTATCAATTGCTGTACCCGATGCCGCTTCTTCTGTTAATCTTAAAAGGGATTTTATTGGACTGATTGTAGAATAAAATATTATACAATAATCTCTCAACAAAGCTCAATCTCTCAATTTGTTTTCTTGATTTAAAAATTGAATGATTTAGTTGAAATCTCGAAGAAAGTTTAGAGATTTCCTAAATTTTTCCAGCTCTCTCGCTGTATCAATTGCTGTACCCGATGCCGCTTCTTCTGTTAATCTTAAAAGGGATTTTATTGGACTGATGTTGCTATATTGTACAATATTGTACAATAATCTCTCAACAAAGCTCAATCTCTCAATTTGTTTTCTTGATTTAAAAATTGAGTGATTTGATTGAAATCTCGAAGAAAGTTTAAAGATTTCCTAAATTTTTCACCTTTTGAATTGAATTAAATTTGAAATTGCGAACGAAAAAATGAATTGAAAAGAATTCATTCTTTTTCTTTCATACCTTGTATAATCCTTTTCGAGTAATTTCCGAAATTCAGTCAAACAAAAATGCAGCCGAACTTCTCCAGTTCTCAAATAATGAAAGAGTGTCGATAGGGATGACGTCAATAACAATTCCCTTGCTCGTCCACGTCTCAATAAGCTCAATGCAGAGACTGAAATATGTTGGGTTTTCAAATTCAACTTCAAATTCTATCGTTTTACCTCAATTTTCTAATAAAATACAACTTGAAAAGAAGCTCTCAACCCTCTTTCCACGTCAAGACAACCCCCTCCCCCCCTTTCTCCCCAAACTTTATCCTCGTTTCCCCCCTCCCTCTCCCACCTCTCTCGTGGTCTATTGGTAAAGTGCTCGCCTCTAGTTCCATCGGGTCCGAGTTCGAGTCTCGGCACGACCCCCGGTCAGTGATTAGCTCTTGTCTAGAGTAAATATACCGCCCCAGTCCGAAGTCCTGTGTGGATTGGTACCCGCGAATGAGACCTATCTTTTGCTTTTTTTTAAGAAACTTTCGTACAAACTTTCATGATCCAAATCGGCTCCAATTGTGATCGTGGCATCAAAATCAGCGAAAGCCGTTCGATCGGTGGCTGGGGTGTAAAAAGAAGCCGAATTTGATAGATTCGATGCTGAGAGATCATCATGGACACGACCTAAATCAACTATAAAAAATAGAAATGATTCTTGAAAAATTCGAAACCAAGAATTATCGTGAGAATTCTCGCATGATGTGCACCGTTTTCGTAGAGTTTTTGAGCGGTTCGCGCGAGAAATGAGTCGCGTTCTCTGCGTAACTAAACCATCGAATTTTCGAATTCATCGAATTTTTCCCCTACTCACATGACTTAATTGAAAAACGTTAATGATTGGCTGATGTTTTATCGCTTTTTCTCGATGATTTCCCTTTGTTTCCCCTTTTAACATATAGACGATGTGAATGGGACGAATGAAAAGATCGTGTTGAACGATTCGATCGACCAAGCCACGAATCTGGAAAACGATTTGAGTTGATCGATTTGAGTCGATCGATTCGATTTGGGGAAAATCGATTTCCCCAAACGAGTAAAGCCAAGAAGCCAAGAGAAATTTCCCTGATAATATCGTGCTTCTTCTAAAAGTTTTTCCAAAATATTGACATCATTTGGAAGAAAAAGCGATCCTCGTAAATAATTTAAAATCTAAAAATAAATATTTTCTTTAGAATTGTTTGTTGTTTCTTTTTAAAACCTCAGCAAAATGTGTTCCATCTCTATCAATGAATAGACGTCCATCGTTCGTTTTTGGGACAATCCAGCGTCCACTAAAACCAATTTTTGTTTTATTTTTTGATTCTTCTTTGACTCTTTTCATTTTAAATGAAAAATTCATAAAAATGAATAAAAAGTTTCATAAAAATTCAGAATTTTATCAAAAAGATTAGATTATTTAAAAGTTTTGATATTTTTTCAACAAATTCTAAATTCTGTAAACTGGAATTACTCTTAAAAAGCAGCCGAATTGAGAGAACAAACTACAGTAATAGCCTGAATATCCTTTTTACTGATTGATTCTTTCAGATTTTTTTTTTCCTCCAATCAAACTCTAGATTTCATATCATTCTAAAGTCTGAAATATTCTCTTTAAACTATATAAAGCATTAAGAATATTATCTAGACGAATAGACTATATCTAGACGAAGAATATATCTCTAGACAAAGTTATGAATGCGCTCAAATTTTTGGGAAGAATTTTTGCCTTAAGAATTTCGCGAGTTTTGTAGTATAGTTTTGGAAGTTCCAAGCTCTTGAATGATATAAAATAGACCTGAATTGGACTAATCCCGAGAAAATCAAGAGATAAAACTCTAACTATCAGCTCAGATCGCACTGTTCTCTTAGTTTAGTTGGGTTGGGATTGGGTCAGACAGCTCCAAGAACACTCAATAAAATGAATAGCTTCAATCGAATCGAAATCCAATCAATCAAACTCTAGATTTCATATCATTCGAAAGCCTGAAATATCCTCTTTAAACTATATAAAGAGTTTAAAATATTATTTTCTCTAGATAAAGCTATGAATCTTTAAAGTATGGCTTCAATTCATTTAAGAATTGAATAATGGATTCCCTCAAATTACAGTAATAGCCTGAATATCCTTTCTACTGATTGATTCTTCAATTCCCCCACCTGAACATCACATAAAGCATACTTTCTTTATCAGAAAGCAGTGTTGAAAGCGTTGTATCGTGAAATGATCCACCGACCGATAATTCAATCATTACAGGCATGCATTTTGATGCGCATAACATAATAAGTTTATAGAAAAGGTATAAAGAATTGCAGAAGAAGCAAAAGAATCACAAGTGATTTGCTTATATTTTGAAAGATTTCATGGAAATCCATCGGATAACAGAATCGACATTAGATGGGATAAAAAGAGATTAGAGAAGAAAGAAGAGATTGAGGGACGGCTGATCCCCCTCCCGCTCCCCCTCCCGCTCCCCCTCCCCCTCCCCCTCTCCCACTCTCATCTCAATCAAAAGTGATCACCTTTCCCACAACACATCCAATCTATTCTCAAAGATAAAGTGAAGTCAATGAAAATGCTTCCATCTTTTTAAACAAACGAGTTGTAGCTAAGAAAAGAGAAGTAAATTCGAGTATATTATAGTGAGTCTCTTTTATTCATGGCAGAACCCAGGAACAAATCTCCAAGTTTTTAATCTCGCCTGGTCTGATTGCTTATAGCCTTGGGAAATTACCGTAATCCCTGCTAGAATACCGTAATCTAGCTCAATTTCTAATCTAGCTTTGTATTATTTCTAAGCCTTATAATTCCCTCATCAAATATGACCAAAATTTGGCTGATCAGATAAAAACTGAAGATTGCGGTACTTTTAGAAAATTGATGTCTTTTAGAAAGGTGGCACTGGTTTTTGGAATAAATTGTCCAACCTCAAAATTGGTGGACAATACATCATTTCGGAAAAGCTTATGAGAAAAATGATATTATGTTTATAGCGAGTAAAAACTCGCAGAGTTTGGCGAGCAAACATACAGTCGAACCTCTCTATAACGAACCTCGATATAACGTAAACCTCTCTATAACGTAAGGCGTGCCCGGTCCCGGCCGACTTTAAGCTATATAAAACGGCACTCTATATAACGTAAACCTCTATATAACGTAAGCTATAGCCGTCCCGTGAGTTACGTTATAGAGAGGTTCGACTGTAATTGATGTCTTTTAGAAAGGTGGCGCACTCTAGCCTATTATAATGTTTTTACGAGTTTGCAGAAATAAAATTCCTCTGGCACACTCGTTAGAAGTTTTCCGTTTACCCAAGAGAGCACAAAGTCACATGGGATACTGCAATATAAAAGCATTGTTTCATGAGATACTATACCGTACAACCCTGTACAATTCTTGTAAAAAACGAATTTGTTTCCAAGTTTATCCGTTTCTGCATCCTTTACAGATGAAATCTTTGAGGCAATTTCTGACAAAAAGAAGAAATTCTTATCACTTAATTTTGGTTGAAACAAGCCACCGAAATTCCTTTTTTTTTTTCTTTACTACACAAATCAATTTTTAATTTTTCATCTTTATCTGAAAAATCTTGATTTTATTAATGATAAATCTTTAAAAGACTAATTTTTATTTTTTTTAGTTGAATGTCCGAGAGTTCATTCGGTGGTGGATCCGGTAGTTTGAAAGAAGAAAATGATGAAGAATATGATGAGAATGTTGAAGAAATCGATACGGCTGATTGCTCGCAAAGGTTTGAGGGGAAATCGGCAAGCTAATAGAGAATGGGAAACAAAGTTGCACTAAAAATTTTTAGCTCTTGTCAATTTATCGGGTATTTTGAAGAAATTAGTGCTGCTTGAATGGTAAACTGGTAAAAAGTTGATAAACTTTTTCGTATTTCCTAGAAAACGTCAATTGGATTAGATTTCTCTATAGAAAAGTTATATATTATCAAATTTAAGAAACGCTTAAGCAAATTCTCAAATCATCTATTCGAGTGATTGAGGTGAAAGAAAGATAGATTTGATCTATCTTTTTCACAAGAAAGATAGATTTGATCACTTTTTTTTCAAATCTTTTTCTTATTACTTGATTTTGGACTTCTATTTGGTTTATGTAGTAAAGCTAAATGCCTACTCTTTTCAAAAGTTTACTTACAGTTATTAGATTCTTACTTACAATTATTAGATTCTTAAAAATACCGACTGGGGCTACCAGTGGTGAATTTATCGCATACACGAAATATATCAATCACAATACAACGACACACACAATACTAGGCTATATCTTAACTTAACCCACGTCATGACAGACGGCTCCCTAACCCTAAGCTCAATGGGGAACTAAATAGCTTTTTTGGTGGTGAAGGGAAGATGACGATGAAGGAGTGGCTTGTCACTTTAAAGAACTGGGGCCACAACCACCAGACTGCCCTCCAGAAAACCTCTCAACCCGAAGGGAAAGGAAATCCGAAGGGGGTGACCATGTCGCATGTGGGGTTCGAACCCTCGACCTTCCGATTAAGATAAAAGACACTTAACCAGTCAGCCACACGTGCTATATTGATTTTGGACTTCTATTTGGTTTATGTAGTAAAGCCAAATGCCTACTCTTTTCAAAAGTTTACTTACAATTATTAGATTCTTACTTACAATTATTAGCCTTGAAAGTTCGTGCACTTTTTCGTATCTTCCATAAATACGCCAATTGAATTAGACTTCTCTATATAAAACTATATTATCGAATTTAAGAAACGCTTAAGCAAATTTGGGAAACTTTTGAAACGAATTTGAGCAGAAATTCAAGTTTTTTTTTTTCTGAAAATTCTTCAAACAAACATAGAACTAAAGCAATTAGACAGCAATCAGCAATCGAGCTGAGAATTCGTGTCTATATGTCTAACTTTTCATGCTCTATCTTTTTTCTATTAACATCAAAATAGGTTTATGTGGAAGAAAGTGCTCAAATCGTTTCATCAAGTGTTCATCATCATTTTTGGTTCCTCAACTTTTTGCCTCCCTAGAAACCTAGAAAATCGAAGCTTTTCTAAGTCTATCAAAAGCTAGTTTTAGAGAATAAAAAGACCTTTTTATTGGTGAAAAATGTAGATGTGCACTAGTTATTTCTAAAAAATGAATAAGTTATTTCAATGAATAAGTGTACCAACTTTCGAGTTGCCAATCTAATAAATACCGAAAAGCCTGATAAAAGCGAAATATTGAAATGATTATTCAAACACCCTCACACTCGGCCTTCTCATTTCCCCTTTGTTTTCCTTTGGAATCTCTTGATTTTATTGGGCACTTAAATGTTTCCCTTTTCCTAACATCTTTCTTCATATTTCTTTTTTTCTTCATTGATTTTTGATTTTTATTAAAAATGGGTTGGGATTCGGATTCGGAAAATTCAGAAAATTCGGATGAAAAACCGAATTTTTGCGTGAAATGTCCTTGCAATAACAGGTTATTGAAAAAATCAAAAATCAATTTTTTTAAACAATCATTTCCCTCTGCTTCACTGAATTAAAGCACTTTCAGACTCACTCGAATTTTAATCCAATTCGGCCTTTCTTTATTCGTTTTGGGATGTATGGCTGGAGCGCTTGTTTGGTCATTCAATAATGGTATGTGGAAAAGGAAAAAGATTGATGAACATAAAGAACATAGATTTAGATTAGATTCCCTTCATTAGATTAGATTCCCCTTAAATACAAACCTTTTAGACGATAATCCTCAATCTTCTCAGTTTTGTGAACTCTCGGAAAACAAAATTTTTCACTTTTTAAAGACTTCGAAATGCTTAAAATAATATTATATATTATGTTATAGGGGGTGGGACAAATGCTACCTTTTTTGCGCACCTGGACATTTGCGCACCTTTTCTTACTGGAAAAGGCCTTAGGAAAGGCCGTAGAGCTTCGAAAATATTTCCATATAAGGGAATCGTATGCGTAGATTCCGAATTTTGACAAATCACACCTCGCTGACACATCAAATTTGGGCTAAAAGGCAAAAACTGCGGAAAAGCGTTAAGTTGCGTAGTTTTTGCCTTTTAGCCCAAATTTGATGTGTCAGCGAGGTGTGATTTGTCGAAATTCGGAATCTATGCATACGATTCCCTTCTATGAAAACATTTTTGAAGCTTTACGACGTTTCCTAAGGCCTTTTCCAGCAAAAAAAGGTGCGCAAATGTCCAGGTGGGCAAAAAAAAGGTCGCATTTGTCCCACCCCCTGATTAGAGTGTGTTCCTCGCGAGTAATCTTTAAATGTTTTTGAACGATCATTGAACCATCATTGAACGATCATTGAACGATCATTGAACGATCATTGAACCATCATTAAACGATCATTGAACGATCATTGAACCATCATTGAACGATCATTGAACCATCATTAAACGATCATTAAACGACATTTTACGCTTAATTTTAATTCAACTATATTTAGGTGAAAAGGGAACTGATAATGGGGGAAAACATGAAAATCACCGCGATGCTTCGGTGAATTTCACGATTTTTGTCGATCAATGGGCGATGGCCGGAACGTGCACTGTGACAACGAAATCCCCTGATGGACCAAATAATAAAGTGAGGAAATGAAAAGACACACTTTGTCTAAGAGATCATATTAGTTTTAAAGAAGACATTTCAGCTTTTCGAATCAAAAAAGTAGAATAGAGGTTGGGATTGGGTCAGACAGTTCCAAGAACACTCAATAAAATGAATAGCTTCAATCGAATCGAAATCCAATCAATCAAACTCTAGTTCATATCATTCGAAAATCTGAAATATTCTCTTTAAACTATATAAAGCATTAAGAATATCAAGAGATAAAACTCTAACTATCAGCTCAGATCGCACTGTTCTCTTAGTCTAGAATAATCTCTAGATTTCATATCATTCTAATGTCTGAAATATTCTCTTTAAACTATATAAAGCATTAAGAATATTATCATCTCTAGACAACGCATTAAGAATATTATCATGCGCTCAAATTTTTGGGAAGAATTTTTGCCATAAATTTCGCTAGTTTTGTAGTATAGTTTTGGAAATTCCAAGCTCTTGAATGATATAAAATAGAGTTGAATTGGACTAATCCCGAGAAAATCAAGAGATAAAACTCTAACTATCAGCTCAGATCTGTTCTCTGTTCTCTTAGTTTAGTTGATGTTTTGTCTAGACTGGTCAGCTTGACCAGTCTAGACACTCCCAACTTGAGTCAGCTTGACTCAAGTTTTATTTGATGGCATTTGAAAGTCGAAAGTGTCCACGTTAAAGTAAAGAATAATATTATCTCTAAACAAAGTTACAAAGTGCGATCATTTATTTAAAAATATTCTAAAAGATTTCAAACTTTATGTGACTTTCAGGAAAACAGTCAAGAATATGAATCATTTTGGTATCAAGATGATAAACATAAAAGGATTGGTGAGTTAGATGAATTCTCCTCAAAACAAATCCCTTTTCAAGTTCATCGAATCGATGATAAGCACACGCTTTACGTCAGAGAGAATTTCACATTTAACGTCGAACAAGAGGAAATTGATGGGGAAGTGCAAGTGAAAATGAAAAGAATGAAAGGGGGGCATATTGAATTGCTTTCAGCATTGTGCTTACGAAGGGAATCTCGGCTATGATTTGTACATTGAAAGGAGTGGATTGACGAATCTCATCAAACATTATTCCGATATTGTAAGGGAAATTGAAGAAGAAGAAAAATCAAGAAAAGATCGAAATTTAGGAAAAAACGAAAAACCACGCACAAGTTTATGTCTATGAAGGAGATCCATCGAAGGTAAATGATTTGAAAATGAAAAATCATCATTGTCAAGGTCTCATTGCTGAATTACGGTGACGCGGTCGCTTTTCTCATTACGGCTTACGCGGATTCTTCATCGGGTAATTTGAAAAAAACAAAGTTCAAAACAAAATTCAAAACAAATTTAATTCCTTTTAAATCATCTTTACTTGTTTTTGTGCTGAAAAAGAGTGTACTTTCAACCATTTACAGCTATTTTATCGTTTCCAGGTGCTCTTCTTGGTTGGGAGACTTATTTTGAGTCAGATGGAACGGATAATCATCTTTATATGGCTGCCTATTGGTAAACAATACAAAAAAAATAAAGAAACTGAAATTGACATAATAATAATAATAATAATAATAATACTAAATTATTCGGTATTTATGATTAGAGTGTGTTCCTCGCGAGTAATCTTTAAATGTTTTTTTTTAAATGCAAACTTGGGAAAAGTTGACATGCTTTTAGTGAAAAGATGATTGGGGGAGTGGGACAAATGCTACCTTTTTCTTTGCGCACCTTGCCCATTAGCGCACCTTTTTTCGCGTTTTAAAAAAAGCTCTAAAAAGCTAATATTGACCAATTTCTATTCCAAAAGTTGCTTTTCTAGGTAATTTGAGGGGGTCGAATTCAAATTTTTGACATAACAGAGCGTGTGGAACCAATTTGAAAGACAAAACGGCTAGATCAAATTACAGAAAATTGTCGATTTTTCTCTTTGTATAACTCTGTCCGTTCGCTTCCACAAGCTCTGATATGTCAAAATCTCGATTCTACGCCCTAAAATTACCTAGAAAAACTTTTGGAATATAAATTGGTTAATATTAGCTTTTTAAAGCTTTTTTAAAACGCGAAAAAAGGTGCACTAATGGGCAAGGTGCGGAAAAAAAAGGTGCGCAAATGTCCGGGTGCGCAAAAAAAAGCTCGCATTTTGTCCCACTCCCGATGATTGGCGAAGAAAGCACGAACACTGACTTATATACCACTCCTTTTAAAGATATTCAGCCGTTTAAGCGATTTTGCCGGGAAATTCCCTTCAAATTTAAAGATATTCAGCTTTCTAACTGATTTGGTGGAAAAATTCCCGTCAAATTTAAAGATATTCAATTTAATCGACGTGTAAAGAGGATTACTCGTAGTCACTCCGCAAAAAACGTCGATTAATCGAGTAAAAATCACTCATGCTACTTTTACTCGAGTTTTATTTTGCTTGCTCGCAAGGAACACACTCTATTTAATGATAATGAGTGCTGTTTTCTAGCTTCTATGCACTGATTTTCGAAAGCTTCTGTAATCTGTCTACCACTTGTCCTCCAATCATTCCATTTCAAGCAATTTTTGTGTGATTGACTTGATCCCTCACTTTCAACATCTTTACAACGATTTCCTCTTTTCATTTCATGATTTTAGGTACGACGAAATGTCTCTTTCAACTCCCGACGAGACGGTGTTTTCAATTCCAAAGGAGTGTCAAACGATATTCCAAATGCAGTCACCGTCATTCGGCGATTTCTCGTCAATCCAATGGAAAGAGCCCTCTCTTTCATCACTTCACACAAATCGTCTTCATCCAAGGTTTTCCCTTCATTCATTTTCTCTTCATTCATTTTCTCCACAAATCTCCTCTTTCTTTACCTTCCGAAATCCGTGAAATTATGCAAATTGCGCAAATTTTCAGGAAGAAACATAGGAGCCACGGGGCAAAATGGAGAACGAAACAAGAAGAGAAGAAAAGAAAAACGAAACATCGAACACATCACCGACAATATTATGGAAACTGAATGGATTGTATTGTTGTTTTTTTTAGATCTTCAAAGTCTATCTTCACTTATCTAGGAAATTTGCTTCAAATAAATGCATACACTCTTAAAGTTTGTTGTTTTTTAAGCAAACTTTCTCTCAAAAAAGTATAGTTATGTGTATTTTTGAAGAATTGAAGGGTGTTGAGTAGGGAAGAGATTTGGGAGAATGATGACTTCCCCTTCTTTTTTTTTTCAAGGATCCTCTTTTCTTTTATATTGAAATCAATCTCTAAGCATTTTTCACCCATCTTAATACTAAGAAATCCTCTTTTTTTTTTTCCTCTGATCAAGAGATTTTTCTCATTTAGTTAATTTCTCATTTTAAATCTTCGTTACAGATTTTACAGTTTTATAGCAAAACAATTTCTTGCTGGATTTCTATTCTTTTAAATTTTTGTATACTTATTTGCTGGATTTTGGTTGTTTTAGGTTTAGTATTCAGGTGGGTAGTAAAAATAAATCGAAATGGGCGGAGGGGTAAACGATGAAATGGGGGAATTGGGGGAATTGGGGAGAGATCAATCGGAGACTCCGAATGAATGACACAAAGAGAGGACTGTTTGAATGACTGAATGACTGAATGACTGAACGAAACACACAAAAATAACATGAGAATAACCATCGAATACCCCAGAAAAGGAAAGGGTCTCTATTTCAGATCTTTTCCTTTACACTCTTTGCTATTTCCAATTTCGTGTGCTCTTGTTGATTAATCTTGTTGATTAATTCATTTTCTAAAATGATCGTATTTCAGAAAAGTACCGATGAGCTTAGTTTTGATATCATTATGATTTCTTATCCTTATTCCAGAGGCTCATCGAATGAAAACTGACTGACTACGGTACTTTTCTGGAATAGATTTCTTTTAGAAAATGGAGGATATACTCTATTTCGAATGATGTAAACACCGTTTTTCTGCTTTAAGCATAGGATTTACTGTAGCTATAGTAATTGTAAGTGAAAACTCGAAGCTACAACACTTCAACCGCCACTCTTCCTTGCAATAGCAAGGAACTTTTCGTGTTGTTTTATTTCACGAAAAAGAAAAGTTGACGAATGAAAAGGAATGAACAAACAAAGGAATGATTCAAAGTGTTTCTATTCTTTATCCGGTGTGACTGTGCTTGCACTGTTGGCAATTGGGGGGAGAGGGGGGACTGTTCACAGGGTGGAGGGGTGAGCGCTTTGAAGGGGCATCGTTATCTGTCTGTGTATACATTCAAGAGCTTCGCAAAAAGAAAAAGAGGAAACGATTCGCAAGTCCCAAAAATTTTCGAACAAATTCTTGTATCAATATTTTAAATGAAAAGATGGGAGAAAAAAGGAGAGATTGGTGAGAAAAGGGAATTCTGAAGAATCGATGGAGTTCTCCCCATCTTTCCCCTACTTCTTTTGGCATCTTCTCTCTTTTTCACTGATTGCCTATTTTTGATCAAAGCATTCACATACGTGGCAATTATTCACCCGAAAACTTCACTTTTGCTTAGAAGTTATTCAGTCTTGTCTATTGAAATACTTGTCTTTTAGCTGAATTTGTTTTTCGTTTTTCTTCTCATTGATAATTTCTTCTATTCAAATGCTCAAAATTAATATGTTTGAAGTGTTTGTTTTATATTTTTCAATATTTTTCAATTTATTTTAATTTCAAGCGTTTAATCTAAAGCATAAAGGCATAGAAATACCAACGATGTACAGGGTATTCAAAAAAAAAGCCAGTTCCCCTTAATTTTCCAAAAAATTTCTGCTATGGTAGCTTGTGCTGGTCGTTGTGGTGCAAAAGTGAATATTTTGGGCTGGAAAATTTTTTGATATATCTCGATTTCATGACTCCTCAATAAATGAAATTTCTGAGCCACCATGGTCACCACCACCATGAGACTTTTGGCATAAAATTAAAACTTTCTATTGGCATCGTAGTGTCATATTAGAGTTAATACTAAAAAAAGTTAATATTTGCCATGTTTTCGGCCAAGGGCTATTGTTTAAAAGAGTTTTTAGTAATTTAAAAAAATTTTTGATTCATTTGGGGGACCCTTACCTATTATTATCGGTCGGCCGATTGTAAAAGGTTGAAAAAATAGAAGACCATAGTTTTCGATTAGAATAAATACGAGATGTCTGAATTATCGATGAAATTCCCAGATTGATCCCTGGCTTTCATTGCACGACTCAATGGAAAGATGCGCTCTTTTGACCATTCTTCAAACGCTTCCAAGGAGTTCAATTCTTGAGGTAAATCGTGGAAATGACTCCCTATGCATGAAGTTTGCATGAAAATTTCTGAGCCACCATGAGACTTTTGGATCTCCACCACCATGAGACTTTTGGCATAAAATTAAAACTTTCTATTGGCATCGTAGTGTCATATTAGAGTTAATATAAAAACTAAGATTTTTAGCCAAACACTTTATTCATCTACATTATATGTCAATCTGTCGTACATAAGAGATTTTCCACTAGCTTTTTTTATAAAGAAGTACCCCCGTTTTTCCAAGGGAACGCTGACCAATAAAGTGTATGGTTTAAATTTCTATTTATCCTAATAGTGTTTATTATGCACCACGATGCCAATAGAAAGTTTTAATTTTATGCCAAAAGTTTCATGGTTGGAAAATTAAAGGGAACTGGTTTTTCATTTTCAAATTATTTATTCGGGGCTAATCTTGCAATTATCCATTAACGAAATTTAAAACAAAGAAACCTTCTTGTTTTTGTGGACGCGACAAAACTCGAACAAAGTACTCCAACTTCAACAACGGATTCATTCGGCAGATCGTTGATTCTAAAACAGGGTTTATCCAGTTTATTCCTTTGTGCTTATTAGGTTTAAAGTCTGATGGTGGTGGTGACCATGGTGGCTCAGAAATTTCATGCATAATGACTCCATTTCATGAGTCATGAAATCGAGAAAAAGCGAAAAAAATATCAAGAATTTTTTCAGCCCAAAAAATCACTTTTTGCACCACAACGACCATCAGAAGCCACCAGGATTTTTTTTGGAAAATTAAGCGCAACTGGCTTTTTTTAAAAACACTCTTTGATTTCTTTGATTTCTTTGATTTCCGATGACCTTATTTATTTATTTATTTTACTTATTTTTGAGTGTAACTGTAAAGTAAATTATTAGCTAAAGCAAATTATTTAATTCTGAATTATTAGCTAAGTAAAATATTTAATAGAATAAGTCAGTAACGAACAATTAAAATAAATAAGTAAATAAGTAAATAAGTAAATAAATAAATAAGTAAAATAGTAAAATAAATAAATAAGGTCATCGGAAACAAAGAAAAAAAAGCCAAAAAGCCAAAAATTGTCCTTTTCAACACTTTAAGTGAGTCTTTATTTTGTATAAATAGTCAAAACAAACGTTTTTTTTATCAGAAAATCGTCGCAATCTGCGGAAATAGTTTTTTTTTTCGCTAGGATTTCCCAAAAACGTCACAAATAGATAGAATTGGGTTCTTTTTGGGGACAAAGATTAAGCCAAATCCGAAAGAAACCCTAAAAATAGTGATGAGTATTGAAGGAATTATTGAAATAGATTTGAATATGCATATTGAGTAAAGATTTCTTTGCTTCTGTTTTAATGATCAGATGGTTTTTTTGGTAAAAGCCTTAGATTGAACAGTTTTTTTTCATAATCTTTATAGTTTTTAGTCTTTCTAAGAAAATTCTATGCAATTTTATAAATATAAAATGAAAAAAGGTGTCTCTATAATAATTATGGAAATTTAGAGCTTTAAAAGAAGTTTAAAAGAAGTTTAACGAGAGCTTTATAAGAAGTTTAACGAGAGCTTTAAAAGAGCTTTAAAGGAACTTTAAAAGAGCTTTAAAAGAGCTTTAAAGAGCTTTTTAAAGAACTTTCGATTTCATGACTCCCCAATCCCAAAATTTCTGAGCCACCATGGTCACCACTATCATGAGATTTTTAGCATAAAATTAAAACTTTCTACTGGCATCATATTGGAGTTAATGGAAAAACTAAGATTTTTAGCCAAACAAAGAAAGTTTAAAGAACATTAAAAGTTCTTTAAATCCGAGAAATTAGGATTTCTTTTGTAGTAAGTTTGGAAAAATAAGAATGAAATTTTTTTGCCAAAGCAAAACAGAATTCATTCTGTTTCCTCATCTTCTTTTTTTCTCCTTAAAAATCGTCTCCAAGCGACTTTTCTCTTCTATTCTATTCTCTTCTATTCCTATTCACAAAAAAATTTCGAAGAAAAAGCTAAAATTTTTGAAAAATTTAATCAAAAACTTAATTTTTCCAATTCCATTTTTTCCTCTTCTTCATCAATATTTATTTAAACGTAGAATTAATTCGATTAAAGGCATTGAATCCTTTTTTTATCTATTTCAATCATTTTCAGTATCATTTTTGAACGACTTTTCTATTTAATGAACTGAATGGTGAGATGGATATATCGAGGGAATTTCTTCGGTGGAATGTCGTCGATGAGATGGAAAGCATTGATCGCCATTTCCCTTCTCATTTACGCTTTCATTCTCTACACTCCGATTGCCTCGTCACCGAATCGATATATTGAGGTGTGTAAAGAAAAGTGGCCAAAGAAAAAGACCCATTTAGACGATAATTCTCGAGTTTCTCGATTTTAGAAGAGACAAATCTTCTATTGGAATTGCAAAAATCGATTTTTAGATTGAAAACGTGAAAGCTGAATCAAAGAATGAACCAAATCCTCCACTGCCAATTCCAAGAAATAAAATCGATGAACAAATAGCGATTGTGCCTGAGAGAATTGTAAGAATTCTTTATGAAATGAATGATCAACAAGCATTTACAGAAAGCAGTTCAAGATCCGCTCAGAGGCGATAGGATTGACATGCAAAAAGAATGGGACCAAGCTCTGAAAGGTAAACAATTCATGAAATTAATGAAATTAACGAAATAACGAACATTCAATTTGTAGAGGGAAGAGAGCGAAAGCTTGGGATTACAAAGCAGGAATCAGGTACAGAAAGAGTTCGATATTTCTTTTGAAGATTTCAGCTTTAGTGGAGAAGAAAGAAATGGTGGAAACGCAAAAAGATCGACAAGAAGAAGCAAAAATTGAGGGTTAGTCTGGGATGTTTGCTGAAATGCTTGCTGAAATGTGCACTCTGTGAGAAAGATACCGTAATCTTTATGGGAAAGCTACAGTACCCACAGAAAAAACAGGTTACAGTAGCTTTTCATAAGTCTAAATCAATATTATTTGCGTTGGTGAATTGGAAACTGCCGGCTATTGTCATATGTGACAGTTTGAGCACTTTCTTCAAAAGAAACCCATTTTGGTGTCAATGGAAAAGTTGTAGAGAATCAAAAATCAAGCTTATATCCAAATTTTCAAGAACGATTCAAAAACTGGTTTTGAAGAAATGCCAAATTTACGAATTTTCACAAAACTTGCATTTTAGGCGAAACTACTAAGTGTATCTTTTTGGAAATTTCGCTATAAGCCTAATTTTTGATTCTCTACAACTTTTCTATTGACACCAAAATGGGTTTCTTTTGAAGAAAGTGCTCAAACTGGGACATCTCCAGCCTTCCATTTTTGAGTCTCACACTTGTCTCACACAAAAACCAAAATCCTACGAAGAAAGAGGAATCCGCAAATTGCCTGTAAAGTGGGCAGAAGTCGTCAATAATAATGGAAATTATTTGGAATCAATTTCTGGTTTTATGTTGAATACATTTTAGTTCAAAGTCCCGCAGTTTTCAATTCACCAACCCAATAGAATGATGAAAAATCGGTTTTTTTTTGCCACTTTTCAATCATGTTTTTCTAAGCGCTGGTTAGTGCTAAAGATAAGTGTTATATCTCAAAAGATCATCAATTCTCTCTACTTTAATTTGATACCAAAGCGCGTAGAAAGAAACGTACTGTTGTCAAGCTATGAGCTTTTATTTGATCGTAGACTTAGACTACGCGATCGGGGCTTCTATTCAAGTATTTATGGTAATTTTGATCCCATTCAATAAGGAAACAAACTGTGAATTGAAAGACAAAAGTCTGAAGGAAAGCTTGCTATAGTTTTCACAAATAATCCATATTTTAGAGTCTAATCAATATTCAAAGCATTGTTTAGTCCCAATTCCACAAGAGAAAACCCTTTCACCAACGGGAATCGGAGAAGCAAGAGGAACTGGTTAATAAAGGAAAAAAAATGTATAACAGAAAAATTTGTAGGGGATTCTTTCAAATACGCATTTCAACCATTGAAAGAAGAAGAATTTGTGGTAGAGAATGTGATGACAATTCCGGGCATGAGTTTCGAGCAAAGAATGACCGCGAAAGTTGATAGAAATGGTCAGTTTTATATGAAAAGACGACGAAGTGAATGGGACGAATGAAAAGATCGTGTTGAACGATTCGATCGACCATGGCTTGATCTGCTCAAGAATCAGAAGAATATTGTCATTTATATTGATTTATATTGATCTATATTGATCAATATTGATCTATATTCATTTATATTGATTTAAGCAAATCCGAAATTGATTGTCACATGGAACACCGGATTGAGCGATGCGAATTTGGGTGGATGTCCGGACTGGAATTGTCGAGTCGTCAATAGCAGAGATAAGGTGCGGAAAGGAAAAAAGAAAAAAAGGAAATGAAGCCGTTCATTTACAGTTATCCGAGGCTGGCGCAATCATTGTCGGCCATGAAGATGTCGCCTTTCAACCACAATCCAATCAATACATCGTTTATTTCAGTCAAGTGAGTGAAGTTGAGTTTCGCTTTCTTGAAAATCGACTTTCCAGGAATCGCCGGCTCATTCCGGCTATCATCCACGTTATCCCGATTTCTTTAATATGTCATTTGGGTGCTAAAATCTCGCAATTCTATGATCGTTTTGTCTTTTAGTTTTCGTCATGACACAGCTGCCGCTTCTCCTTATGGATACACTGTAAAATTAGCGCCTGAAAGTTATCGAAAACCACCAGTGAGTTTTGATTAAATTAAATGGCTTAAGAAAAATCGCTAGCCGGCAATTTGCCTAAATGCGAGTTAAGGTTTAAACGCCATTTATTAACTATCGTTATTACAGTACGTGGATGAGTCATTGATTCGTGGGAAGAAAAAAGGAGCCGCGTGGTTTGTATCCCATTGTAGTACGGCAAGTCAAAGAGAACTATTGGTACAAAGAATGCAGGTAAAATTGAAAAGAAAGAGAGATGAAGAATGAAGAATTCAGAGTGGATTTGAGGTGGACATTTATGGAGGATGTGGAACAAAGAATTGCCCGAGAGGAGGAGATTGCGAGAAGATGCTCGATACAGAGTGAGTTCAAGAAGGAAATGGAGAGAAGAGGAGAAGAGGAGAAGATAAAGATATCTATCAACATATTCAGCTATCATTTCTACATCACTTTCGAGAACTCGATCTGCAAAGATTATGTGACAGAGAAAGTTTGGAATCAAGGCTACGGAAGAGAGTTGATCCCCGTTGTGCTGAAGGTAATTTAGAAGCGAAATACCGTAATCATTCGAATAGAATGTCATTTTGCGTTTATTTTTTCGTCCTCTAGCTACAGTACAACGAAATATGAAAATCTCCTGAAAAATTGGTGTTTTTGATTGATTTTTATCCGTCAAAAACACCAATTTTTGAGGAGATTTTCATATTTGGTTTTACTGTATCCGTTTATCGATGGCATTCACCTTTTTTACCTATTATATAACTATTATATAAATACAGGGTGACTGAAAATTACGTGCGCCCAAAAAAAAACGCCATAATTTAATTTTCTTTCAAAGAACATGTAAAAATATTTATTTATATAATAGTTGTAACAAAAGCATTTAATAATTACAAGAAATTTTCGAAGTGGCCTCCATCCGCTTTGATAAAGGCTTTAATTAGCTTTACAGAATCGACGGTGGATATAATTTGCATCTAAATGGTTCCAGATTTTGATCAATTCTTGACGCAAATCATTCAAATTGTTGATTTTCTTATTTCTCAATTCTTCTTTCATAAAACCCCAAATCGAAAAGTCCAACGGATTGAGATCCGGGCTGTTTGCAGGCCATTGATGCTTCGTCAAAAAAGAGCTAATTTTGGTTTCGAGAAAGCGAAACCTGTTTTGGCTCTGTGGGCCGGCACCCAATCTAGTTGAAAGGCCAAATTGGGATGGCTCCTCTTCCACGGCACCACAGCTTTCCCGAGAATCTCTTTTTGATAGACTTTTGCGTTAATCTTCACATTTTTATCGATAAAAATTAACGGAGTCTTGCCCGAAGCACTGATTCCACCGCAAACCATCAAACTTTTTCGAAACAGACCTTTTCTAGCAAAGTGGCCTCCATCCGCTTTGATACAGGCTTCAATTCGCTTCTTTACAGAATCGACGTAATGTAATTTGAGTGTCTTTAAAAAGTGAAACATTTTCTTATCCGAGAGTTGACAAAACTGAGGAGATTGAGAATTATCGTCTACGTTGATAAAATGAATTCAGAGATCAATCGTTGATGAAATGAATTCAGAGATCAATGATTGATGAAATGAATTTAGAGATCAATCGTTGATAAAATGAATTCAGAGATCAATCGTGGAATCCTATCTCCCACCAAACTCCTTCATTGCAGCTGATGATTATGAAAGTGTTGGAGAAATGACAAATTATATGAAATATTTGATGGACAACAAGACAGCTTATATGTGAGAGAAGTGGATTCTTATCGGATTTATGCGAATTTCAGGGAATATTTCAATTGGCGTAAAGATCATAAAGTCGTGTTTTTGAATGGGAAAACGCACGATATTCTCGAGAAACCATGGGGAATGTGCCAAGTGAGGAAAAAGAAAAGAATTGAACGAGGGAAACCGATTTAGATCTGTCGATTGTTATGGGAAACACCGATGCCCCATCATTCAATTACAGGTAGGCAAATTCTAAAAGTTATTCTTGTTATATTCTTGTTATCTTTTTGGAAACTCTTACAGAAGCTTGGACAAAAACGGATAGCTTTCATAGAATGTTACAGTAAGCTTTATGACTACTGTAGGAACTACTTGGGGTTACTGTAACTTTACGGTTACGGGTTACGGTAGCCGTATCGCGCTTTAAAGTGCTTACCTGAGTCGAAGTTTAAAAAGAAAATGTTAAACACAAGAGTAGAGCTAAAAAAAACTTTCTTTAGATTTCCGCGATTGGTGGGAAAATTCATGTGAATCCCAGGGGAAATTGGTGTCCGATTTGTTGAAGGGAAGTCAGCAAATTGAACAAAAACAATGAGGGGGACGAGGAAATTTCCGAAAAGAATTGTTCCCTTCTTTAAAAAAAGCATAACCGAGTGTCGCCTTTTTGTTATTCATTCCTCATTCAATTGCATGCAATTATTTTTTTGATTTGTTTAGGACTATAGTTAGGTACTCCGATTCCATTAAGCATTCAAATTTACTTCTCGACAACACTACGATGATTCTCACCGCAAAATTAAATGCAATTTGCACCTTTGCAATTCATTTCATCGCACATCTAGTCACTTCTTCGTTTTCTCCCATCATCATCTCTAATCAATTCAAATATTTGTTCGGGTTTTTTTCTCTAATCAGAATATTCATTCCATATTTATTCTAGTCTTTTACTTCTTTTTTGATTTCAATTTCTTTATACAGAGTTTATTAATTGGGTATTTTCTTCGTTGTGATATTTTAGTGTCTCCCGAGTGCCTTTAAGAGTGTTCGCCTTTATTCAAAGAATAAATTTATACCCTATAAACGAATCACAGCCGAAAAAACCACTCGGAAATAGTGCAATTTTATTAAAATTTGCAATAGATAACGAAATACTTGTCACAAAAATGAATTCAATAGAGTAAGTTGGAAAGTTGGAAGGCGAAAGTTCATTTTGCGTGGAGTTGAGGAGCCGATACCTAAATTAAATGTGCTCAAGATCTTAATTCTTGAATGTTTCAAAATACTCACTTTCACTTTTCCGGGAACATTCCGTGACGCCGAATCATCTCCAATTAGAGCTTTCATCAACGCAACTTCTCGTGGGGCAGCTGCTGTAGTACGCTGAAAGTATCAAATTGATAGCTTGACGATTCTCAAAGCTGAAATTGCACTGAACGCAAAACAAACCATGAATAACTCAAGAGCAGACTTAACGGCTTTTCCTCTTTTTCCAGTTCCAGGGGTCAATTTCACCCAAAGCAACATGAACCTTGTAACTGTAAATCATAAAAACCTTGTATTTATACGTTGTCAGCGTATTATATGGTGCGACAACTGGAAGAGCAAAAAGTCCTCAATCAAATTAGCGTGTCCTCAATCAAATTTCGAAAACTATGGGAGGGATTTTCAAGAAGCCGGTTATTAGTACAGTTTAAATTGGTCCATGTTTACTGGAAAGCGATTTTCTGAAAAAAGTTGGCATTTCACATCTTTTTCCCGCCAATCATGTTTATGCTCCAGTGCAAATTTGCATTGCTTTGAACGACAAAATTTGCATACAAGCATGAACGAATTGTAGATAATGCTAATTTACATTTATTCTAGGAAAAGATGCGAAGTACCAAAAAACGGTTATCACTGAAGTTTGATTGTACTTTTATTGTAATGTATGAAAAAGCTCAAAGCAGTGGTCGACAAAAGAGAAGCTTCCATGGCTCAAGAATCGGTTGCAATCAAGACTAACTCGAGTGGTCCAAGAATTTTCAGGTGTTTAAAATTGTTTTTCTGTATTCACTTTATGTTATGCTTTAAAGAGATGGTTTTATTTTGATGACGAACAACGATTAATGACGTACACAGGATTTAAACATAAACAGCAACAGTACGACAACGAAGAGATACACAAGACAAAGGGTTGTAGAACTGGATGAGAAGACCGATTGGGTTGAGGCGGTTTCGGTTGTTATCTAAAATATCTGTTGAACTACTTCAGTTCTGTGTAATTGAATGCGATAATGGGGCTGCGATATACAAATGATACAGCTTCACATCTAAAGTTAGCATTAGAGTGTGTTCCTCGCGAGTAATGCGTTTTTTAAAACGAACAATTGGGAAAAAATTACCGTACTTTTAGCAAAACTTATTGCAAAAAATGACGCAAAAATGGGAGTGGGACAAATGCTATCTTTTTTTTGCGCACCCGGACATTTGCGCACCTTTTTTTCCGCACCTTGCCGATTAGCGCACCTTTTTTCGCGTTTTAAAAAAGCTCTAAAAGCTAATATTAACCACAAGCTCTGATATGTCAAAATTTGAATTCGACATATCAGACATATTCGACAAATTACCTAGAAAAACAACTTTTGGAATAGAAATTGGTTAATATTAGCTTTTAGAGCTTTTTTAAAACGCGAAAAAAGGTGCGCTAATCGGCAAGGTGCGGAAAAAAAGGTGCGCAAATGTCCGAGTGCGCAAAAAAAGATAGCATTTGTCCCACTCCCCGCAAAAATGACGGGCCCCGCATTATATACGACACTTTTTAAAGATACTCAGCCGTTCAACTGATTTTGCGGGAAATTCCCTTCGAATGTAAAAAAAGGATTTTTTTTTTGAAAAACCTGCGCAAAAAATTGCTTTTATATTTTTTTCACGCAGGCGCGTGAAAAAAATACATTGATGCTATTCAACTTTTACTTGAATACAACTAAGTAATTACTGCAAAAATTTGCCATGACGTTGACATTAATAACTTTATGTAACTTCTAGCTAGTTCTGCTATTTTTAACTCAAATTACCTGCAAAATCGGATCACTCGGCAAACAGATTTCCTGTTGTGGTATAGGCGATGGTGGGGCGAAACTGGAAAGATTCTCTCGAAACTCTAAACGAGAGGTGCCCGGTCGAAGAGCTTTAAAACATTGAAATTTCCGAGCAATAAACAAAATCACCATTCGGGCTATCAGTCGAGTGTTCGATGTGACGAACATTACGCGGAGAATCAAACATTTTCGAGACGTTCTTGTAACGGTAAATGTTCTGCATACTCTCGCGTCGTTGAGCCCATTGGACGGCGAGGATCTGCGAAACAGTTAGACTTTACGCTTTAGCCACTTTTTAACTTTGAAAACATTTCAAGCAATTTTTATGTCATGAAACTTTTCGAAACTTCGAAACTATTTAATTTGTTTCACTCATTATCTCTAAACCACTATAAGATCATTTTAAATAACAAGTGCAAAGCAAACAACAAGATTGTTTTTGAAATCTATTTTACAGAAGAAAACAAAAACTATCCAATGCATGTGGTTTCATTTTTATAATTAGCTTTAAGCAAAGAGTGATGAGCAAAGAGTACTGGCTATTAACTATATAGAGACTATTAACTCTTAAAAACTTTGCCTTCTTCTAAAGTCAAATCAGCTTACCTCACTTTGCAAAACCTTTGTTTTATCCAAAGACGACGGTTTCGAAGCATTCAGAGCACTGCGAGGTGAATCAACTCGAGTAAATTCTTGAATATCATGTTGTGTTGTCGATCTGGCAACACTCAATTTTGTTGATTCCTCGTAAATTGGTGGTGGTTCTGCGGATTGTGAAGTGGAATGATTCATTTGGAGGTGAAATCAAGTTATATTTATAGTTGAGATGAGCTGTGAATGAAAGGGACAAAGGAAACTTTGGAAAAAACAAAAGGAAAAGCAATTTTCTCCTTAATTTCACGTGCCCTCGTTGAAGAGAGGCAATTTTATGTTATGAGGGTAAAAAGTGTTTGTCGGGGGTGGAGGGGGAAACTTGGCTTGATCAAAGTTTCAAAAGAGTTACTGGATAATAATTTCAGTTGAAGCAAGGCAAAACTGGGAAAAAAATGGTACTCCTATAAATTTTTAAGTGAACATAACATTTCTTAAAATACACTTAAACAGCTACAATCGAATACGGTGTTAATTAGGGTATAAACAAAAATTTATTGGAAAAACAGTAACGATTTTAACTTAAAGCAAACTTTTGTGCAAGAAACAATTTCCGTTCTCATTTGAATAAAATAGGAAACAATGGAAATTGTGCTTGATCTGGTTGCTGGAGATCAACTAGAAAACATAGGGCTCCGGCCCATCCCTCAAATAGAGAATACGGTGAATCGGGGGTTCGTTGTTGTGAGCGAATCGTGTCATCCATCATCAATACAGCAAAAGATTTGGCACGATTGAGCCTAAAAGCTTGGATAACTTGGAAAACAAACAAGCATTTACCATTTTTCATCTCCGGTCAGTCGCCAAATGTTCAGGAGAGCGTAGGCGCTTCCTGTAAATTAAGTGAGGTTAACGATTTTTGTTTGTAAGGTACAGCTAATCGCTACGCACTCGTTTCTTTAAATATTTTAGTTTACCAACTTATAAATTCTTTAGAAAACTACTTGTTCTGATCAAAAATCTACCAGAAACTCCATGACAAAGACCCGGTCCTTTCTTCAGGAGCCCTTCTCTCCATATGAGTTCACCAGCTTTTAAGAGAGCCTGAATAAGATTTAGATTTATTACTTTCAAAGTTAAACTTACTTTCAAATATAATTCTTTTTGCTCCAAGCCCCGAAGAGTAATGAGAAGAGGAACGACTCCCGTTGCCCCATGACACCAATGAACCAACGGCTCTTCTTTGCTTTTCCCGACCCATCTTAAGAAAGTTTTGCATTTTTGTGTTGACGACCACCTATGGGCCGTATTTCATTGGTTAAATTTGGATTTAATTGCACCTGAGCCTAACCTAGATTAGTTTAACCTAACTGTTAAGCTATGCTAATTTTTTTCAACAAACTTTCTGGATGAAGGAAAATTCCCCGTTGAATCCTGTACACCGATTAACCATTCAGCCGTTTTGATCAAATCTCTTCTCGAGTCGGGGTCCAAAAGCTGGGCGAAACTAAACTGAAACTGATTTTAACGTTCTGCCAACGAGTCACAAATACCTCAAACATAGATGAAGTATCCCGGCGACTCCATGGGCGGCTCCCAAATAGGCTGTGTCGTGCCATTCCCACATCAGCGGTGGATTAGAGTCGCTGAATAGGATGTTCAACGCAGGGTTTTGTGTCGTTACCTAGAACGATCTTCTCGGCCACGATGGATGATCTCATCGATTACTCGCTTGATATCATCTGGGTTGATCACTTCCTCATTGTATGTGATTCTAAAATTTTTTCAAAAATTTCCAAATTTTCAAAAGTACTGACATAGTCGAATTCCAGACACTAGCTTGGCTTCAAATTTTTGTGTATCTATGTTTACTTCAACTAACTTCAACCACAGTGCAGCCGCCAAAAAGCCGGCTCTTCCATAGAGAACTTCATCACAGGGAAAAGCTGGACCGATGATTGCTCGAACCAATGAGTGAATATGCTGAAACTAGAAAATAAATCCAACTTTAAACTCTATTAACCTTTTCAATTGATTTGTCTCTTTGTACTGTCAAATCAATCGTCATCGCACCGAGGCCGCCACACAAATATCTCGCCTGTTTGTCTGGTTTTTCTGGAAGTTGATGTTACATTAAAGTTTGAGTAAATCTGTTAGTTAAATACATTCACAAAAAACAACTACCTTCAAACAGTGATCGACACCTCTCAATCATTTTCTGAGCCTCGGCTTTCAGATCACCCCCCGGATATGATCTGACTTTGGTCAAAGCGAACGCTATCCCGGAAAGACCAGTGTATGGAGAGGCTGAATTGAGCAACTACTGTTAAATTTCAACTTACAACTCACGATCTCTTAACTCATCACGATCTTTTGGTCGTTCCAATATCGTTCGAACAATCGCTGAAACGCTGGCTTCAATGAAACTTGGAGAACACCTTTCAGCTCCTAAAAACTTCGATAAACTCTTTGAAAGTTACATTTACCTGCCCTTTCATCATTCACATAAGAATTTTCAATGTAGCGAGCCATTTAGTTTGTTTCTGCAATGAAGAAATCAAGCTATGTAAAAGTTTGCTCGAAAAATACGAAATACTCGGTGAGCTATAAAAACTTGTTTACGCCAGGAAAAGGACATTTTCTTTTCGGCTAGTGACTGGTGGACAGGGTTTACAGAGTGACAGGGAGAGGGTGTGAAATGAAAACGCCAAGGTAAAAAACAGCCGAGATCTATGTCGAACAATTGTTCCGTATATAATTGTTCGTTTGTTTGATAAGGCTTTCGTTCATTAGATTGAATGGCAGATTTTTCTGTCATTTTATATTTACATTAAGATGTTGACTTCAAACTTTCCGATGACTTATTTGAATCAAACGATTTGAAAGCCGCAGTTTTCGACAAATTACGCTTGAGCCAATCGTTGTAGATGCTAACGATTAACCCATTTGGCTAACAAATCGAGTTCCAACAACACTTATTACGAATACTGGCATTCGCTGCACGAAATGTCGAGAATACGAAATGAAAATATCGAGTTACTACCAGTTTACCTACCAAAACCAGTTTATCTACCAAAATATCCACATTTTTCAAAGTTTATTGTCTCAAATCGAATACATATTATACGTCAACGTAAACAAAACATAAGTGAACCAATGACAGCTTACAAAAAAAATCACAGCTCTATTTTTTCTTTCATTTAGTCGCCAATCGATCATAGCAAGGATGCCCAGGGAGGCACGATAGGAGCCGGATTTTGCAAGTAAGACATCACAACCGCCGAAATGGACAACCTAAACAAAATGTGTATTCAAAATATTCAAATAACGTCTAACAACAGTAACTCCGGGTTTACCTAAAAATTTTTGTGGTCCCCTAATAGTAAATCGTTGGATGTAAGGGGTCCAATAAAATTGAGACTTGATCCCATAATAAAACTGCAAAAAAGTTCAGACTTCTTACTAGGACCATCCCTACGATAAAAATTAGATAACTACAGCAAAACGATATTTAATTTGTCTTTACAGCTTTCAGTTGCTTATTATACTTTATTGATTTTAAGAAACAAAACTTACATGAAACTGGAAACAATTTGTTTTGTGTCATCGATTGACCGAGTATTGGCAAACGAGACGCATGAGCAGAGAAGAGCTGCCCAGGCACACCATTTCATCTAAAACCATCTTAAACATGCAGTTTACCTCTTAACATACCCTCATCATCAAACCACACATACTGAAGATCATTCCAAGTACGTTCATGTATTCGGGCATCGGATCATCGCTTGCCAGCGCTGCCGCTGAGTTTGGGTCGATTGTTTTGAATCTAAACACATAACAAAATTACGGTTACTGGTATGCTTGAGGGGCCCACTTTTTCGGGGGTTTTCGAGGGTGCTGATTTCGAATTCGTCAAAATTTCAATAGATTTGCTTATTATTAACGTGTCGTAATATAACGCATCTCAAGCGGGGTGCACTTCAGCAAGTCCGGGAAGAGGTAGGTGCTGCAAGCTCTCCAGAGGTATTTCGGGTTCAGCCCCACCTAATTCCTGGAGAGCTTGCAGCACTTGCTTCCAACCCACTCACTTTATCGAAATTTTGATGAATTCGAACTCAGCACCCTTGAAAACCCCGCAAGCGTTTAAATCGGGAAAAAGTGGTCCCCAAGCATACTAGTACCAAATCATATTCCATTGTTGTAACAATTAAGGTCATTTATTTATGTAATTTACAAATCAGTACAACTTAAAACACTCTCTAACTAGACTATCATAATGTGTAAACGAACAAACCGTGTCACTTTGTTGGGACGACGATTGTCTCCTGCTAATTGCATGTTGAAGGATCTAAAAGCAAACACCCAGTTATAAGTTAAAAATGAGAGAAAGTTAATCAAATAAAGGAAAACGGTTTGTTACTTATTACAATAGTGTGAGAAAATGCGCCACTGAAAATGGCCAACACTGGCCATTAAAGCTAAATGCTTCCCATCTCAAATATATTTTGACTTTATGCAAATAAAAGATATTCAGTCAAACAAACAAATGCTCGTTGATTAAATCTTAAACTTTCATTTTCAAAAAATGTAACTATTAAAGCAACCGCAGTTTCTGAAAAGAATGATCTCCCCATTTTGCGATGACAAACTACAACACTCGGGCACAAAATAGGAGAGTAAAGAGAGATCCCCTATTGCACCACCTTATCGATAGTTTTTTCTTTCTAAATATTGCATTACCCACTTCAAATTAACTTTATTTATTTTCAGGATAATGAAGGATCGCTACACGACACTGGACGTGGTGGCGGCTGTTCAGGATCTACAAGTTCGTTGCATGATTTTTGCCATTATTTGATTTTCTTTAGACGGTCGTTGGAATGCGTGTCTACAACATCTACGACATTAACTCAAAGACATATCTGATTCGTTTTAAAGAGTGAGTGATATTTTTTGAGATTTAAATTATCTGAATTAAGCAAAGACAAGAAAGCGGTGATCATGTTTGAGTCTGGAATTCGGATCCATTTGACCGAACGAGATTGGCCGAAAAATCAAATCCCGTCTAGTTTCAGGTAATTTTTATTTGTATATTTGGCTTATTAATAGCATTTTAGCATGAAATTACGAAAACACGTCAAAAACTCTCGCCTCGAGTCTGTAAAACAAGTAAGTTGATAAAAGATGTAAGATGTTTGATGTCAAATTAAAATTCTCAGGTTGGTAATGATCGCGTGGTCGATCTTCATTTCGTAGACAAGGACGGAAGTGTTCATGTGATTCTTGAACTTTACGATCGGTTTGTTGTAAATGCTACCACCAATAGCTTTTCTTAGGGGAAATATTCTACTAACCGATGGTCAATACACAATTCTCAACATTCTTCGTCCTCGAACTGATAAAGACAAAGATGTAAAGTTGAGTGTCAAAGAGATCTATCCAGTGGAACTTGCTAGAAATGTAAGTTTTATTTTTATTCTTATCATTTATTTGTGTTTTAAGGATGCGACAATTACGACGCTCGAAAACCTGCAAAGCGCTATTCAGACGGCAAAAAAGGAGAAATGTTAAAGCGATTTCTGGTTCCGCACGTTGTGTTTGGAGGACCGATGATCGAACATGTCCTTCTACTTCACGGGTAAGTTTTTTAACTAAAAATTATTAAAAAGTTAGTTTAGTTTCCCAGCTAAAGCTCAATTTGAAATCAACGTGAAAGTGGATGATGCGACGATTCTTCAAATATACAATGCTTTGGAAACGGGAAAGAAGGTTTAGACTTTTATGAAATTTGTAGATATAATTTTTGCAGATTTTTGAGGGAATTCAAACAAATGCTTCAACTGGAATACTTACCTACAAAAAGGAACAACGTGCTGATGGAAAGTTTGTTGAAACATTTGAGGTAAATCAGAAAGTCGGATTAGCACATAAATTAGCTCTTTTTAAGGATTATCATCCATACATATTTCAACAAGCACTTCAACTCCTGTATCACTCATATCCATCATTCAGTGCAGCAGTTGATGAGTTTTATGCAAAACAGGAGACACAAAAACTGGAACAAAAGTAAAAAAAAATCAAAATCCAAAAATAATTCAAATTTTAGAGCACTAAACATTGAAAAGGAGGCGATCAAAAAGTTGAACAACGTGAAAAAGGACCAAGAGGCTCGGATTTTGGCATTGGAAGAAGCAAAACGACAACAGGAAATTATGGGAGAAAGGATCGTTCTTAATGAAGTAACCAGAAAATCAAATCAGAATAACCACCAAAATTTTAGTCACTGATCGAGCGAGCGTTAATGGTGATGAGAACGATGATCGCTTCAAGAAGTGATTGGTCGGCCATAGAGCAATTGTGGAAACAAGCTGTACAATCTGGTTAGCCGTTGAGTTCTTTGTTTTAACAAAAGGTTCTAAAGGTGACGAAACGGCAACTCGAATTGTAAAGTTAGAGTTGGAAAGTAATCAATTTGTCATGCGTCTCGGGGACCCATTCAATGAAGAAGAGCCTCTAGTTGATGTAAAGATTGATATCGCTTTAAATGCGTATCAAAATTCACGCAAGTATTTTGTTGATAAAAAGGTTTGTCAGTTTATGGGAATTTTACCAGTTAGTTTACTTTTAGGCTGCTGATGTGAAAAAAGGAAAAACTATACAAGCACAAGCAAAGGCAATTAAGAATGCTCAAGCGAAAGCAAAAGATACAATTGATTTGGTTTGTTTGTTGAGTTTTTAAAGCTTTATTTTTATCTAGGTACGAATAAAAACAGACGTGGTTAAAAGTCGCAAGCAATTTTGGTTTGAAAAGTTTGTATGGTTCATCTCGTCTGAAGATTATATTGTGGTGGGTTTCTAAGTAGAAACAAACGGTTTTTGTTTTCTAGTTCTAGTTGCATTTGTTTAGTATTGATGAATGGAATCAGTAAAAGTATATCTTTCCGCGGTACAGAATTACTAGCATATTTAGATAGCTGGACGCGACGCTCAACAGAACGAAATGGTGGTAAAACGCTATCTTCGCCCTGGTGATATCTATGTCCATGCCGATCTTCGTGGAGCGGCTTCAGTGGTGATCAGGAATAAAAACGGTAAATAATTGTTGGAAAATTATTACTTTGACGTTAACTTTTAGTGAACAATGAGATTCCTCCAAAAACGTTGATTGAGGCAGCACAGTTGGCAATTTGCTATTCCGGTGCGTGGGATTCGAAAGTAATTTCCAACGCATGGTGGGTACATCACGACCAAGTGAGTTTTTGATGGCACCTTTTAAGAAAATTTATTTATAGGTTACGAGAACAGCTCCAACTGGTGAATATCTACCATCCGGCTCATTCATGATTCGTGGAAAGAAGAATTTTCTTCCCCCAAGTCAACTGGTGCTGGGATTTGCTCTACTATTTAAGTTAGATGAAGACAGCATTAAACGCCACGAAGGTGCTTTAGTTTTTCTTGTCAATGAAACTTTTTTATAGGAGAACGCAATCAGTTCAACAATGGTGAAGAGGAAACGCCAAAGCAAGAAGATGATGAAAACGAAGATGAAATTTGCGGAGAAGAGGAAGATGGTGCAGAAGATGAAGAAAATGAGGAGGAGGAGGAAATGGTAGTTTTCAAGTATCCTATTGATAACGATTAATTTTAGCAATTCCCGGATGTTAATGTTCCGATTAATACACTCAGTCTTGCCGACACACAAGAGGAATATTCTATACTTGAGGTACGCAGTAGAATGTACTCAAAAACCAATAGATCTATAATATTATTCTCACAGATTGGTGCAAAAGCAAATAGACCTGCTCAACTTGTGCGCCCTGAAACGAGAAAATATTTGGAAGATAAACATCAGGTCGAGGACCTAACAACAAAGTGAGGGTTTTACGCTATGTACAAAAAAAATTATTTTAGATTGAAGCGAGAACAAGCAGCTGCTGCACGACAAAAGAAAAAACAGAAGCTGATCAAAAAGAAGTATGCGGATCAAGACGAAGAGGAAAGGGAACAACGAATGCAAATACTTGGAAGTCGAGGACAGCCAAAGAATGTTCCAGAAAAGAAAGAGGAGCAACCCGTTGTTGAGGTCGCCCATATCCGATAACCCTATAATGTCAAATTTTAGCAAAAACCACGAAAAGAAACAAAACGCGACACAATGCCGAAGAATCCATCACAAGAAGGAGGAGATGAAGGAGTAACGGATGAGAATGTGGTGATGATCGACGATGTTGTTGAAGAAAATGTGCTGCAAACGTTGACAGGACGACCGCTTGAAGAGGACACGCTACTTTTTGCTCTTCCAGTTGTCGCACCATATAATACGCTGACAACGTATAAATACAAGGTTTTTCTGATTTACCGTTACAAAGTTCATGTTGCTTTAGGTGAAATTGACCCCTGGAACTGGAAAAAGAGGAAAAGCCGTTAAGTCTGCTCTTGAGTTATTCATGGTTTGTTTTGCGTTCAGTGCAATTTCAGCTTTGAGAATCGTCAAGCTATCAATTTGATACTTTCAGCGTACTACAGCAGCTGCCCCACGAGAAGTTGCGTTGATGAAAGCTCTAATTGGAGATGATTCGGCGTCACGGAATGTTCCCGGAAAAGTGAAAGTGAGTATTTTGAAACATTCAAGAATTAAGATCTTGAGCACATTTAATTTAGGTATCGGCTCCTCAACTCCACGCAAAATGAACTTTCGCCTTCCAACTTTCCAACTTACTCTATTGAATTCATTTTTGTGACAAGTATTTCGTTATCTATTGCAAATTTTAATAAAATTGCACTATTTTCGAGTGGTTTTTCGGCTGTGATTCGTTTATAGGGTATAAATTTATTCTTTGAATAAAGGCGAACACTCTTAAAGGCACTCGGGACACTAAAATATCACAACGAAGAAAATACCCAATTAATAAACTCTGTATAAAGAAATTGAAATCAAAAAAGAAGTAAAAGACTAGAATAAATATGGAATGAATATTCTGATTAGAGAAAAAAACCCGAACAAATATTTGAATTGATTAGAGATGATGATGGGAGAAAACGAAGAAGTGACTAGATGTGCGATGAAATGAATTGCAAAGGTGCAAATTGCATTTAATTTTGCGGTGAGAATCATCGTAGTGTTGTCGAGAAGTAAATTTGAATGCTTAATGGAATCGGAGTACCTAACTATAGTCCTAAACAAATCAAAAAAATAATTGCATGCAATTATATATATATATACTTTATCCGACAAGGAAAAGTGACAATGCAAACAGATTGAACAGCGTAGACGAAGAAAGATAATTGATATACAAACACAACTACAATTAGACACGTGTATATATGACATTAAAAACTAATTTAAAATTGACAGAGCTACAAGATCGAGCTTATATATTGAGGATTTAAAATAGTTCAGAGACGAAAAAATATCACAAGGTAACTTATTCCAAATACGAGGAACACGACAAGCAAAAGAATGATACAGTTGGCGGTTATGAAAGCTTTGAAAGGGGGTAATCTGAAAGTTGTGACTACGAGTTCTTCTGGCGTGATTCGAAATCTTAAAGAGTCCTTTAAGTTCCGGATGAGAGTTAGGAGAGAAGATGATTTTATAGCATAAGACCAAATCAAAATAAATGCGGCGATGGGATAAGGGTTTAAGGTCAAAAAGAGCAAGTCGATCAGAATAGCAAGGAATTTCTTTCGATGGGAAACAACGGGCATACGCCCTCCTACTGAAACGACGCTGAACGCTCTCAACCAAGGAAATTAACTTTTGGAGGCAGGGAGACCAAACAAAAGTGGCGTACTCGAGCAAAGGGCGGCAGTAGGTAATGAACGCTTTACGATAAGTAGCAATTGAGGGAAAACAAACAGCGCGAAGTATAAGGTTTGAGATGCGAAAAGCTTTTTTTGCCATCTGTTCAATATGAGTGTTGAATTTAAGAGAGGGAACAAGTAAAACACCAAGATCTTTGATTGGGTCGTCAGAAGTGGCTTCAGATAAAGTGATATTCCCTAACTTAAGAGTAAAATGGGAAGGACCAAATGTTACTTGTCTACATTTTTCGACGGCAATTTTCAGCTGCCAGGTTATGCTCCATTTTAGGATCGAGTCTAAATCTCTCTGAAGATAATAAAGACCATATTGGGTGTTTGATCGGGGGATTTTGCGATAAAGTTTTAAATCATCTGCATAGAGACGCACCATGGTACCGGGAGTTAAAGAACTATGAATATCGTTGATATAAATAAGGAAAAGTAGAGGACCTAAAACACTCCCTTGCGGAACACCACTAGAGATGGTAAACTCGTTTGAGAGTGTATCACCGATACGAACACGGAAAGTACGACGGGAAAGCCAATTTTCGATCCATTTAACTATAAGCGGAGAAATACCTAAGGAAGTAAGCTTGGCTAGAAGGAATCGATGATTTACAGAATCAAAAGCCTTGGCAAAATCAATAAAAATACAGCAGGTTTGAGATTTGCGCGCTTTGGCCCACAACCAGTCGTGAATTGACAAAATTAATTGATCAGAGGTAGACCTAGACTTAAGAAAACCAAACTGATTTTGGTTAAGAATTTTGTTCTCTAGCAAATGAGTGGTAATGTGATCCTTAATGATAGCTTCCATTATTTTGCATATAGATGAGGTCAAAGCGATCGGGCGATAATTCGCAAGTTGCTTACGATCGCCTTTTTTGAAAAGAGGGCAAATTACGGCGGTTTTCCAGTCAGTGGGGACAGAACAATTTAAAAGAGAAACATTAAAAATTTTTGCAAGGATGGGGGAAATATGATATTTGGTTTGGCGAATGATAAAAGAGGGAATATCATCGGGGGTGTAGGAAATTTTATTTGAAAGTTTGGTTATAGCTTTTTCAACAAGAGTAGGAGTGAAAATAAGTGCGGGACAGTTTGAATGGCGATTTGGGAGTAGAGGAATAGCGCTAAGGTTATCAATTGAAAAAACGCTGGCGAAATAAGTTGCAAAAGAGTTTGCTATGTCTAAAGGGTTGTCTATAAGAGAATTGGAAGAAGGATTAATTATACATTTAATGGAAGAATCGTGATTTGAACTAATTTTAGAATTTATATAAGAGTAAAAGATTTTGGATTATTGCTAAAAACGCATTTGCGTTCAATATTTGCCTCAAATTTCATCACCTGCTTACGCAAAGTATATTCTAAACGCGCATAAAAGGGAGTATGCCTAAGATGCCAAGCTTTCTCTAACCTAACCTTTGCTCGAGTAATATGAGGCGGAGGAAAAAAGCTACCTTTGGTCGAGAGCGGAATGTGTTCAATCAGCAATTTGTGCATCGTATCAGTGAGGAGGGCGTAGCACACGTTGATATCCGTGTCGAATCGAGGCCTGAAGAGGAGATTGAAATGAATTGAATGAGGAATGAATAGCAAAATTTTCCCACCAATCGCGGAAATCTGAAGAAAGTTTTTTTAGCTGTACTCTTGTGTTTAACATTTTTTTTTTTAAACTTTGACTCCGGTAAGCACTTTAATACGCGACACGGTTACCGTATTTTCTTTAGGTTGTCCATTTCGGCGGTTGTGATGTCTTACTTGCAAAATCCGGCTCCTATCGTGCCTCCTTGGGCATCCTTGCTATGATTGATTGGCGACTAAATTAAATAAAAAATAGAGGTATGATTTTTTTGAAGCATGTCATTGGTTCACTTATCTTTTGTTTATGTTGACGTATAATATGTATTCGATGTGAGACAATAAACTTTGAAAAATGTAGGTATCTTTGATAGATAAACTGGCTTTGGTGCTGGTAGTAACTCAATATTTTCATTTCGTATGGGAGTAATCCGCTTTTTTTCAAGTTTTGAAGCTCTAGAATGACACAATTGTTTGCGCCAATTATTTTGGTTCCAATTAAAGCACGCTAGAACGTAGGATTTTGAATTAGCGGCCATCTGGCGTGCCGCGACGCGACCGTTCCAAAGCGATCAATCCATTAGTCGTTTCTTTCACTTTATTTCTGCAAGCCGTCTCAATAATTTTAAAATCGTTTATTACAATTCATTTGTTTAGATTCGATCCTTAGATGGCGTTTCAAGGTGGGTATGGAGGACAAGGCGGTGGTGGAGCCGGAGCGGGCGGACAACAATACGATCCTGAGGTTTGGGTGTTTATGATCACGACAATAATCACGAGTTTTAGACAATGGCTCAGTATGAACAGGCCTGGGCTCAGTACTACGCACAACAAGCAGCCGCTGGCACTGACCCAAATGCCGCTGCTGCAAATGGAGCTGATGTGGGTTTTTGTTATCGTTCGTTTGGTTTTTAGCAAAAACAACTTAGATTTTTTAGCCATTTCAGTATTCTGCTTACTACGCTCAGCAAGGAGCTGCCGGAGCCAAGCCTGGTTATGAGCAACACGGTGGTGGATACGACAGCAACCAAGGTGGTTATGGCGGAGGTGGTGGATCATTTGGAGGCGCTGGTGGATATGGTTAGCATTATCTCTAAAATGATTTGTTTCTAGGAGGTGGTGGCCGCGGAGGTTACGATAGCTCGCGTGGCGGTGGCGGTGGAAGAGGCGATTATGGAAATCGGTGAGATCGATTTCGTCTTTTTGATCTTTTTGTGGAAAGTTGATATAATACAAAAATTTAGTGGCGGTTCATTTGGTGGCAGTGGCGGTGGCGGTGGTAGCGATCGACCTTCTCGTTGGGACGGCGGCGGTAGTGATCGTTCACGCGAATCCTTCAGTGAAGGGTAAGCACTTTTATGTTTACTTAAATTGTTCAAGTTGATTTTAAACAGCTATTAATAAGTTTTTGTCTTGAATGAGCCCCCATTTTGAAGAGTTCGAAAACATGTTGATCACTTTAATAACTGGGTTCAAAAATTGATGAAAAAAATCGATTGAACATGAAAATTGGAAGTTTTTTTACCCACTTTAGTGGGAGAATGTGCAATTTTTAAAGTTTAGTTCAAAGGTTCTGCTTTTATCAACACTTGTATCAGAGGGTCTCGAAGAAAATGCAACACGATTGTCCAAAAATAATTATCACCAGTCATAAATAGGCAAACTATACAAAAGAAAGAAAAATAATTGGTTTCGATTGTGCATGAGTGTTTTTTTGTAAAAATGACTGGTGGTAGTCATCCGACCAGACTTACTGGTTTGATGATGATTTTTCTTGCAGGAACGGCGGTCCTCCGGGTGGTCGAGGAGGCTTTGGAGGTATTCTATCTACAAAGAGTAAAAATGTTATACAATAAGATATTAATTTTTGAAAACGATCTGATGCGTTTGGTTATCTGGTATCTTCCACAATTGGGGCGCGAAAAAATATAAATGCATTTAACAAGCAAAATCAATGGTAAAAACTAAATGTGTACGCAGAGTAAAGCTCTTGGTAAAAATGGTAAAACATGGTGCGCTCACATTTCGTGTTAAAGGTTTTTGTGGCATTGGTAAAACCGTAATTAATTCACTAGATAATCATAAAATAGTCAGTTTGTGACGTTGCACATATGATTTAAAATTAGGCAACATAATTAGGTTTCAAAATATTTTAATACTTATTTTCTGTTTTATTTTAAATATTTAGGTGGTAGAGGTGAAGGACGTGGTGGCGGCAGCAGCTTTGACGGCGGTCGAGGAGGAGGAGGGTTTGGCGGACGAGGAGGCTTTGATGGAGGACGAGGTGGCGGTCGTGGAGGATTCGGAGGAAGAGGCGGCGGAGGAGGAGGAGGATTCGATGGCGGTCGAGGAGGAGGAGGAGGATTCGATGGCGGCCGTGGAGGAGGATTTGGTGGAAGAGGCGGCGGATTCGACAGTGGACGTGGCGGTCGAGGCGGAGGTGGTGGTGGATCGTTTGCAGGTTTGTGCTTGCTTCGGAAATTTTTCATCTTCATCGTTTTATAGGACGTGGTGGTGGGGGTGGTGGAGGAGGCGGAGATGATCAAGTGGAACTGCCCGATACTGTCTTCATTCAAGGAATCTCCAAAAGTGCCGATGAACAGTTTGTGAACGATGTATTCGGATCAGCTGGTGAAATTGCCATTCATGACAAGTCTGGCAATCCACGGTACGATTTTTGGCTCCACTTATTTGAAAAATTTTCTTCAGAGTCAAAATTTACACGGACCGCCAATCTGGAGAGAACAAGGGTGAATGCATGATCACATTTGCCAACCCTGAGACTGCGCAAAAGATCATCGCCATGTATGAAGGACAACCTTTCCCAGGAACTGATCAAAAGATGCGCCTGTCTATTGCTAAAGTAATTTTTTTATGGATTTGTTTAATTCTAGGAAAATTTTTTAGTTCCGTGCTCGTGAGGAGGGAGGTGGACGTGGTGGTGGTCGAGGAGGATTCGGAGGACGAGGCGGTGGAGGATTCGATGGTGGCCGCGGAGGAGGATTTGGTGGCAGAGGTGGCGGCGGATTCGATGGAGGTCGTGGTGGAGGTGATAGAGGAGGTAAACAAATGAAGCGAGGCAACTAAAGTTCAATCTTTTAGGCCGTGGAGGATTCGGCGGTGGAGGCGACCGTGGAGGATTTGGCAGCCGTGGAGGAGATCGAGGAGACCGACAAGGTGGATTCGGCGGACGTGGTGGACCACCAGGTCGTGGTGGTGCGCCAGGTGGTGGCCAAAGAGGTTTGTGTTTTGATATAACAATTTGTTTGGAAATCGATCAAATGGAAATTTTTTAGGTGGTCGCGGTGGAGGAGGGAACGCTAACCTCGAACTCCGCCCGAACGATTGGCACTGCCAGTGTGGAAATGTGAACTTCGGCTTTCGTCAAGAATGCAATCAATGTCGAACACCTCGTTCAGAAGGTGGAGGTGGAGGTGGAAGTGGTGGACCAATGCGAGGACCACCAAGAGGCGACCGAAATAGCGGTGGACGTGATGGTGGACGCGATGGTGGCCGAGATCGAGACAGGAATCGACCATATTAAGACCAATTTGTGTTGTTTTTAAATTATATTTCTTTTACCTTCATTATTTTGAAAATTCCTTTTAAGTTTTATTTTTGGATCTCATTGATGTGGTTAAGTTTGTAAACTCTTTATGAATAAATTGTGGTAATTTATTCACTTTATTAATCGCGCGCAAGATATCGCTAGAAGTATTGACTTGTCAAATCCGAAAATATCTGCGATTTATGTATTTCGGTAAAAAATATGAAAACAGACAACGGTCGAAAGTTCATTGCGGAACCGACGCTTCTCGCTGCTAAATGTTGCCTTTATCATAGTTTTACCGTACTCTAAAACAAAGGGCGGTGATAATGTTTTTTAAAAGTGCTATTGAAATCTTTACATCATTATAATTTTTGGTGATGTGAATTTACCTTTAACCTTTAACCAAAAATCTTAGAAAGGTCCCGCTTTCAGACGCATAATATATTGGGTTGAGAACTGATTTTTCTGGACAAAATGACCACAAAATTTAAATTCTATCTCATAGTGCCTTCTTATTGTTGTCTAACTAATGTATTTTCATTTTAGTGCTATTCTGGGGATGAAATAAGATGTCAACCTTCGTTCAGCACGCAGCATCCGGAGATCACACGAGGCTCAACATGAGTGGTCGGTTTAACATTTATTATGGTCTTAGAAATGGCATTCAACCATTCATGAATATTTCTTCAGGAAAAGTGGGTCGACGCAACAATGGGGAAATCGAGCCACTCCAACGTTTTGCTGATGCAAAGAAGATCCTCGGGGAGATCTACGATGATTTGAACGGATATGTAAACGAGACGGAGTGCTTCTATAATGGTTAGTTTAGCGTTTTATGAGTTTTCCTAATAAATGAATTCAGCGCTGAAAGAATTTGATCCAACGACGATGCAAGAGAAAGCGTACGAAGAAATTCAAGACATTCGCGAATCTATTCGAATGATCATCGACACTTTTCAGAGGGATAACATGAAAGTGGTTTTTTTCGGGAGGTTTGAACTCTTTATTAGACTGAATTCAATCTTTGTAAAACTTTAGAACATCCAATGGAAAATCGACCACAATAAACGCGATGTTACACTCGAAAATTTTGCCACAAGGAATGGGGCATACAACTTGTTGCTTCTTGCAGGTTGATTAAACTCGTTATTTGAGAAATTCCGTGTTTTAGGTGCAAGGAACCTCGGATGATGATGGATTTCTGCTATTAGACGAACGACCTTCTCAAATTCCACTCAACGAATTGGGAAAGGTTTGTACAGTGTATTAAATTTGAGGGGAAATTTATGCTTTCAGATTGGGCATGCTCTTTCTGAAGATAATTCCTATTTGCCAGCGATGGGACAAGATTCATTACTGCGTGTCATGTATCCAAAGCGAGAAAATCGATTGTTGCAGAATGATGTAGTGATACTTGATAGGTAAATTTATTTTTGAGGCAGGAAGTAATATTGGTTTAGCCCTGGAGTTGATCTCTCTCCTCAATTTGATTCCTGGATTGATAAGCATTGTTTGGATGCAGATGTATTTGTGCTGGTTTGCAATGCTGAAGCAACTCTCACGCAAGCGGTAACTTTTGTTATTTTTAGGTTTATCTCTTAATTTTCAGGAAAAATCTTTCTTCTATCGCGTCAGCAAGAAACTATCAAAACCAAATGTTTTCATACTAAATAATCGATGGGATGCGAGTGCTGCTGATGATAATGTTGAACAAGTAAGTCCGCTATTTTCTTTTGGACCCTTTGTGTTTTAGGTTCGTAGCCAACATCTGACACGCTTCAAACAGTTTCTCGTCGATGAACTTCAAGTTTACTTTAAAATAATTCTTACTTTCATTGCTATTTTAGGTATGCTCGTCTTTGGAAGTCCAAAATCGAGTGTTCTTTGTGAGCTCACGTGAAGTTCTTGACTCTCGATTAAAAGCCAGAGGGCTTATCGAAAAAGCATACGAAATGGACGGATATCAAAAACGTGCATACGAGTTTAACCAATTCGAACGCCAGTTTGAGCAATGCATTTCAAGGTGAATAGTCATAAAGTTTATTTATGATCTTAATTGACTTTAGATCAGCAATTCGTAGCAAATTTGAGGCGCATGCTCGACGAGCTGATGAGCTTGTTCATCGGTATATCTGCAGTTATTTAAGTCCTTGCACTTTTTGTTTTTTAGAGTAAGAAACAACGTAGACGAGGTTTATGGAGATACGTTAGCCCGAAAAGAGACTTTTGAACGGGAATTAGAGGTTGGTTTCATTCCTGATTTTATGTATGAACGACTTTTAGGAAAGCACAAAAGAATTCAACAATTGCCGGCACAACTTTTCGGCGTTTGAGAAAGCGTATCGAGAACAAACTGAAGGTCTCCAGGCTGAAGTGCATTTGAAGGCTAGTTCACAATCCGTGGTAGCAAAAACTAACTTAGTTTTTTAAGGTTTCTGCTGATTACTACGAGGAAATTCAACGACTTGCGGCAATTATCGACAAATTCAATCGCCCTTTTGTTGATACCCCACAAAGTATAGCCGAATATAAGACAGTAATTTTTTAAAAATTGAGGTTTTTACGATTTAAAGTTAAGGAGCTGGCAACTTTCGTCGACAACTTCATTTCACAAGAACTTGAAGCAAGATGTACGGGAGGATTAATGAGCAGAATATGGGAGTTAGAAAACGAAATGTTTGGTAAGTTGACAAAAGAAGTCCTGCTGTTTAAATTTTGTTTTAGTTTACGTGAAGAAGATCCTTGCCGAAGCCTATCAGCACAAATTGGAAGAAGTGTGGCGATATCGAGCTCCATTCAAATTTTCGATTTGCGTGAATGCACCATCATTGACTCAAGATTTCCACGAAGATCTCGACTTTAGGTAAGAACAAAAACAACTAACAATGCAAAATCGACTGTTTAGGTTCTCATTTGGCCTTTCAGCAATCATTCGTAAAGTGATCGCCTATCGAAGTGGACAACCAGTAACATCAATTCAAGGAAGCTTACTTGCAACAGCGCTGGTTTGAGATTTTTTGCATTTAGTCATAAATTGATTTTTAGAATTCGTCGACAAATTCTGCACAGCGGAAGTCCATTGAGAAAAATGTAACCCTTTTTACTTTCACAACTGGAGACAAATAAATTTTAGAACGTTCAAGCAGTAAACGCGGAAGAGCAAGCTGTGATGACAAATCTCGTCCTTTCATCAGCAGCTTATGTGGCCAATGGTGGAATTGGTTTGGCGATTGCTGGTGGTTTACTCTATAGGACTGTCGGATGGAAGGTTTGCTTGTAGAACTACTTACTCTTACCTATGTATTTTAGGTGATACTTGGAGTCGGCGCTGTTTATGGGGGATTGTACATGATTGAAAGGGTCCGATGGAATAGCTCGAAAAAGGAACAACATCTCAAAGATCAAGTTTGCTTGTTTTGCTCAAAATGAGAACTTCCGTTGTTGTAGTTTCGTTCGCATTTGGGATCTCGAATGCAACATTTTGCAGCGGCTCATACCAGCGCGTGTGAAACGCAAGTCACTAGGTAAGTTGTTAATAAGATAAGCTGTATTTGAAGATGTTTTATTTAAGAGAAATGGAACAAGTTTACGATGGCCTACGAGCGACGGTGGGAGGCGTACATCGAGAAATGAAAGCGGATCTAGATGCTGCGCGATCAAGAATCGATGCATTGGACCAACAACTTAAAGGACTTTCAGCAATAAAGTTAGTCTGCTAATATTATTACCGTAAAATCCTAGTTACTATAATTTATCAATCATCGTTTAGGGGAAAGACGGCTTTTGTTCTACGAGGTCTCGAGCAATTCTCCGGCAATTTCCTCAATCCAGATTCTCCTGCTTAAAACCCTATTTGTTTAGAAATTGTTCGTTTGCATTTCGTAAAAAGTGTCTTGTTTTATCGAAAACCCATTCGCTTTGAAAACTAAAATTGCCACATTTTCTGATTTGTCAGAAAACAAGAATCAAAAAATAGGAAGCTTTTCATATACGGGTTATTAAATAATCAGCAAAATGTTTTTAATAGTAATTTCTATTTTAGGCAGTACACATTATATAGCTAGTAGGCTAGTTAGATTGTACCATTTTCTTTTACTAACCCAATTGTTTTCTCTTTGTGGAGTTTTATTCGATGAGAATAAATCATTAATAATCTCAATAATAACTTGAATATATTAACGAAACAATTGGAACATGCATTTATCTTCGACGAGTACAAAAGGTTGGAAATTTGCAACGAAAAAAAGGAGTGACCAAACTTGAAGAAAAGGAAAGCCAAATGAAATTCGAGTGCCTCCAATCGAGAAAAAAGGGAAGAGAGGAAGGAGGAAACGAGGGAATCTCATCGTCGTTCACAACTTTCTTCTTTTTCCCTTCTTTTCCCCCATTTTTCTTTTCTCCATCTGATTTGGTGAGAAAGGAAAATGGGGGAAATGTTCCATTTCGATGAGACCTCTACCCGAATGCATCACACAATCTTCTCTCATCAGAGAAACAATAGACTTTTTGACTTTTCAACGTTTCTCATCACAACTACTTTTATATTGTTGACGTGTCGTCGAAGTTTTTTTTTAATTTTCTATTGGAGATTGGCTATTGGAGAGCTGTTGATTGACCCAAATGACCTGCATAAAAGAGATTGGGTATCTCATTGAGGATTTACGCCTTTTCCTCCATTTTAAATCCCTTCCACCCATCCGTCCACACTTTACCAATGATTTCATTTGTTTTTTTCTCTCTTTTAGTTTCCAATCTTTTTGAGTGCAGTAAACTTGTGGGTGGCTTATGTGGAAAATTTTTGTCGAGAGCTAATCCGCTAACAGCTAACAGTCGACTGGCTTACTCACTAAATTTTCAAAACCAACGCCAGCTCAAAAGCCATAAAAACCATTCAACCCTACACCCCGTAACAGATTCGCGTACTTGCGCTCGTAATGCAAGAATGTACTTGAGATCTCCTCCACATCACTTCCCTCTCATCAAGATCAATCCATCCACCCTTTTCCCATTTTCCAATCGAATTCACCCCGCTTCACCACCCTCCTCTGCCTTCTTCCTCTTCTCTCCCCTCCTCCCCTTCTTCCCCTTCCTCCCCTTCTTCCCCTTCTTCCCCTCCTTCAACTTCCCCCCTCGTTTCCCCCCATCAGACATCAAATTCCCATCTTTTTATCCATCCACTTATCATTTCAATCAGACAATCCATTTTTAGAAATTCAATTCAAAAAGCTTGCCTCTCAGCTCTCTAGTTGTCTCAGAAAAAAGATTTTCGCGCCTAGGGGATCGAGCTAGCGATTGGCACACGAGCCACTGTGCCATAGGAGGGCAACTCGACTCCTCTGACTGAAAGTCTCTTCATTCCCCCCCCCTTCCACCTCGATCTATTTTCTCATTCATTTTCCATTTCCAACCCCATCTTTTTTTTATCTTAAGCAATGCATTCACGCAATCTTTACCATTTGCACGAAACTCAGAAACGTTGCCTTCCCCTACGTTTCGGCGTTGCTTTCATTTTCTTTTCTTTTCTCTTCAAAATACCTGCTATTCATTGAATTATTTTTATTTTCAAAGCTTGAATAGAAATCGTAAATTTTGACGCAAAGTTAAGCGAAAAATTTCCCATTTTGGTTGGCCCAAAACGAATGAGAATCTCACGGTAAATTATTCAAATCCAGACCGACTTTTCGGGGAATTTTCTTCACGGAGATTTCAAATCTTTTCACTCAATTTGACGGACACTTTTTAGAGAAATTACTCTTTTTTTCGGGTTTTTTTCTTATTCTTATTAATGAAATCATTTTGTTTTCGAGTATTGCCTAAAGAAGGCTAAACAGATCTTTTCGAGTTTCTCCGGGTATTTTGGATGTGCTTCTTGAATGCTTGATTTGCTGCTCATTTCTTTGTTCCGAGTTCATATTTTTGTTTCTTTTTGATAGATTTTGATAGAGAAAATAGAGAAATGACTAGGCTATCTAATTGAAACTAAATAGAGGTCAATTTTTCGGTTCTATTTCATGTCTACCGTATTTCTTCGAATAGAAGACCGGGTAAAGGGGGCCCGCATGGGCTGGAAAATGACTCAAAAAATACGACATGGCTAACAGATTTTGAGCCATTTTCCAGCCCTATAGCACTGAAGTTAAGGGGGCTGCTACCAGGAGTAGCGAGCTCCTTTTACATTCTTCTATTCGAAGAAATACGGTAGTTACAATCTAGTTACAATCTAGTTACAATCGAAAGTCGTCCAAGTTGGACGACTTTTGATTTAAAATCTCCCATTGATTGTAACTAATCTTTTTGATGGAAACGAAGAAAATTTCGTGTTCGTCAAAAGACGAGGCAAAAAGTTTTTTAAGGGAAGGTCTCCAGGGGGATCGACAAGAAGGAAAAGGAATGGGCAAAAGGAAGGGATAAATCGAGGGGATCCCTTTAGGCATGGCCATCCATGCCCATCGCTGCCCACCGCTCGCGTTATTCTTAACCCTTTCTCACCCAATCTCCCTCATTTTTGTCGGCTCTCACACACAAAAAAATGAGTGATGTCTTTGGGAAAAGTCGCTTCTTCGCAAAAAAATCTCCCCAAACGATTTCGGCGCCTTGAAAACATCTTTTGATGTTTTCAGAGCTACTGTAGTGTCTTCCTTTTGATTAATTCATTTTCTAAAAAGAAACTTTTCTAAACTACCCTAATCCATCAGTTTATAATTGATTTTGGGCAAAAAAAATGACTAACAGCTTTGTGCTTTGTGATTCTCTCATCTGATCTCTGACATCTGACAATCTGACCAAGTGATCGGAGGAAAACCTGACAGTTTGAGTACAGTAGTTTTCGAACAGGTCAATTTTAGAAGACGTCAAAGAAGCTTTTTCTTTCACTACCGTATTAGACCTGATAAACAGGGTAATAGCTGACAATCTTGTTGTCTGCAGCTCTGCCCAGCGCGAATGGTCGAACATGAGCCAAAAACAAATTGCAATTTGCACTACAGTATCCAAAAACGAAACATTGCTCGGGGCAGGACTGCTGACAACAAGATTGCCAGCTATTACCCTGTTTATCAGATCTAAATGTTAGTGGAAGAAAAAGCTTCTTTGACGTCTTCTAAAATGCAGCTGTTCGAAAAACACTGTACTCAAACAGCGAGGTTTTCCTCCGATCACTTGGTCACATTCGATGAGAGAATCACAAGGCACAAGGCTGTTAGTCATTTTTTTTTTGACCAAAATCGAATGTAAACTGATGGATTACGGTAGTCTAGGTGGGTACTGTAGTGTAAATTGTTTTTAGCTAATGCTCGAGCATTCAAATTTGCAAGTAGCCGTAACTCATTGTATAGTTTTGTTGTATAGTTTGTACACACAAAACGACAAACGGCCAACGCAAAAAAAAAGTGATTTGATTTCTGACGAAATGAGGAAATGAAAGTGAGAGAGATCTCTGAAAAGAGAGGGGACGGGTACTCCACTTCAATTGCTTCTCATTCTTAGATGAAATGGACAAAAAAAATGAGGCGAAAGTTTGGTGAAAAACTCAAGACTCAAGTTTTTCGACTTTTTTCTATCCATTATTTCGGGATTTTCAAATGAGTAGTGATTTAAAGGTGATTATAGGTTTCTTGACTTGATTAAAGAGAAGAATTCTGACTTTCGAAATGATCAGAAAGACTTTTTCATTGGAGTATTCAATCCTGAGGAAATCAAGAGAAAAAACGGACTGTTCTCTTTCACTTGAACTTTTTTTTTCTCTAGATTTCTCTAGATTTCCCTAGTTCAATCAAATTCTATTTTATATCTAGAAAGTCAAGTTTTCTCTTTAAAACTAAAGGCTAAAAATAAGCTTATTTCTGACTAAAGTTATGAACCATTAAAGTAATGGTTACTCATTGAGAAACTCTCGATAATTGGAGTATTCAATCATGATCAATTTTCCGATGAAGCTCAACTTTCTTTGGTCGATTTTCTTCTCGATTTTTATAGCGTTTCTCTTTTTTTTTCGTTGTTCTCCCCAAAAATGAATCCTTTTCCAAATGATACTCTTGAGTTGGTGATTCCAGCTGACCAATAACGATTTTCACTCTGTCCTCATCCTAAACCTAAACAATCCCACCGACCGACCCTACCCGACACTTTACTACATGACTAGCTCTAGCTTTTTTGTCTAATAAAGTACTCCTAAACTAAAATGATCAATTTTCCGGTGAAGCTCAGCTTTGGTCGAATTTCTTCTCGATTTTTATAGCGTTTCTCTTTTTTTTTTCGTTGTTCTCCTCAAAAATGAATCCTTTTCCGCGAATTCCTTTGCATTTTTCGTCCAAAATTTCAACGGGAATTCCGCTTGAAGAGAAAAATTGAGATGAAAGCCATCACTGAAAGCCACTCCTCAACACACTACACACTTTTTCACAGTTGCTTAGCTTCTAGTTGTTGTTTTTGTTTGGTTGAACGGTTTTCTAGAAGAAAGAAAAGTGAATGCTGAACTCTCTTTTCCCTAAACATCAACTTCATTTCATTTTTCTCTTTTTCTTGACATTTTGATCCTTTTTATGGCCTCTTCAGAAGAAATTTCTTTCGGAAAAATTTTCTTTCTATGTTGTATCGAAAGAAAACTTTAGTTTTCAAATAGAAACTGGAAATCTCAATCTCATTGACCTTCTAGCAACTTTTCATTCACTTGTCCACCAAAATTCCCTTAAATTCTTCAATCTAAAATTTAAACTAATCAGATTACGGTAAATCGTCTTTTAGATTAATTTAAACTGATCAGATTACGGTAAATCATCTTTTAGATTAATTTAAACTGATCAGATTACGGTAAATCATCATTTCTAATCTTTTAGACGTCTTT